AATTTACTGCATGTTGGTGAAGTTATAGTGGAGTTATGTTGGTGAAGTTATAGTGGAGTTATGTTGGTGAAGTTATAGTGGAGTTATGTTGGTGAAGTTATAGTGGAGTTATGTTGGTGAAGTTATAGTGGAGTTATGTTAGGATGAAAAAGTGGAGTTATGTTGGTGAAGTTATAGTGGACTTATGTTGGTGAAGTTATAGTGGAGTTATGTTGGTGAAGTTATGGTGGAGTTATGTTGGTGAAGTTATAGTGGAGTTATGTTGGTGAAGTTATAGTGGAGTTATGTTAGGATGAAAAAGTGGAGTTATGTTGGTGAAGTTATAGTGGAGTTATGTTGGTGAAGTTATAGTGGAGTTATGTTGGTGAAGTTATAGTGGAGTTATGTTAGGATGAAAAAGTGGAGTTATGTTGGTGAAGTTATAGTGGAGTTATGTTGGTGAAGTTATAGTGGAGTTATGTTGGTGAAGTTATAGTGGAGTTATGTTGGTGAAGTTATAGTGGAGTTATGTTGGTGAAGTTATAGTGGAGTTATGTTGGTGAAGTTATAGTGGAGTTATGTTAGGATGAAAAAGTGGAGTTATGTTGGTGAAGTTATAGTGGAGTTATGTTGGTGAAGTTATAGTGGACTTATGTTGGTGAAGTGGAGTTATGTTGGTGAAGTTATAGTGGAGTTATGTTGGTGAAGTTATAGTGGAGTTATGTTGGTGAAGTTATAGTGGAGTTATGTTGGTGAAGTTATAGTGGAGTTATGTTGGTGAAGTTATAGTGAAGTTATGTTGGTGAAGTTATAGTGGAGTTATGTTGGGATGAAAAGGTCGAGTTATGTTGGTGAAGTTATAGTGGAGTTATGTTGGTGAAGTTATAGTGGAGTTATGTTGGTGAAGTTATAGTGGAGTTATGCTAGTGAAGTTATAGTGGAGTTATGCTGGTGAAGTTATAGTGGAGTTATGTTGGTGAAGTTATAGTGAAGTTATAGTAGAGTTATGTTGGTGAAGTTATAGTGGAGTTATGCTGGTGAAGTTATAGTGGAGTTATGCTGGTGAAGTTATAGTGGAGTTATGTTGGTGAAGTTATAGTGGAGTTATGTTGGTGAAGTTATAGTGGAGTTATGTTGGTGAAGTTATAGTGGAGTTATGCTAGTGAAGTTATAGTGGAGTTATGCTGGTGAAGTTATAGTGGAGTTATGTTGGTGAAGTTATAGTGGAGTTATGTTGGTGAAGTTATAGTAGAGTTATGTTGGTGAAGTTATAGTGGAGTTATGCTGGTGAAGTTATAGTGGAGTTATGCTTGTGAAGTTATAGTGGAGTTATGTTGGGATGAAAAAGTGGAGTTATGTTGGTGAAGTTATAGTGGAGTTATGTTAGGATGAAAAGGTCGAGTTATGTTGGTGAAGTTATAGTGGAGTTGTGTTGGGATGAAAAAGTGGAGTTATGTTGGTGAAGTTATAGTGGAGTTATGTTAGGATGAAAAAGTGGAGTTATGTTGGTGAAGTTATAGTGGAGTTATGTTGGTGAAGTTATAGTGGAGTTATGTTAGGATGAAAAAGTGGAGTTATGTTGGTGAAGTTATAGTGGAGTTATGTTGGTGAAGTTATAGTGGAGTTATGTTGGGATGAAAAAGTGGAGTTATGTTGGGTTGAAGATAAAGTTATTTTTGGGTGGGGATAAGATTATGACCAAGTCACATGAATGAGTTTGATTCAGGTGCACTTTCTTAACAGTGTTTCATTTGTGTTGTGACCTGTTAGCTTTAGTTTGGGTAATGTCTGAATCAAGACAGACTGAACTTTGTGAAGTGTTTCCGTGTTGGTGAAATTCACAAGCTTAGATACGGAGATGTCACTCAATAGGTTGTAATTATGGCAGTTCCAATATTCAAAATCAGTGACTGCTAGAAATGATATGGAAAGCAACCCTACTCAGTGAAAAGCTGCAGCTTATGCAGTCTACTCGGAGTGTATTGTTTTGGTAATGTAAGAGCCTGTCAATGACACAGCTCTTGTGCATTATGTCATGAAACTATTATGTAGTAGACAAATATGCACATGCATGACAACCACCGACAGTCTGGACACTGAGTTGTAAATCGATTCCCACAACCGTCAATATTTGGAAACCTGATCAATGTAGAAGCAATTTTAGTTGTTGAAACATGTGGCATGGTGTGCAGTTTTATCACAGGAGTTCCTTTGTAATGGATATGAATGACACACACTTGCTTAGCTATTAAAGGTGTCAGAAGAAATGCAAGAATAATTGCTGTGCAAATTGTAAAAATGTAGGTGGTTGAAATTTGGATACAATAGTCACAGTGACAAGTTGTAAGTTGTATATGCAGGTGATTGAAATGTCAATGAGATTGTCACAGTGGCTTTGACTACCACTGCTTGTTATATCTACATAACTCCGAGAGTGTACAATGTAAGTTGTGGGCCAATAGAACATAGAAGCCACTGATGAACTGTCATTAGGGCTTCCACGGGTACTCGAGTACTCGAGGACGAGTCGGGTTTAGGTGGACTCAAGTCCATTTTCAAGGACTCGAGGACTCGAAAAGGGGAGATAACTCGAATTATTGACGTTGACGGACTATCTGCCATGTGCTAAACATGAGCGGCCGTTAACGTCTAATATTAAAGAAAAAGATATAACTTTATTATCCCACAGTTCACAAAAATATGCACAATAATTACATGCTCAAAATGAATGCTATTTACAAATAAAACTGACATGAGATAATTCAATTAACCACATAGGTAAAGAGGCTGAATAATTCTAGTTCTAATCACATGATTGTGATTCAAAATATTTGTTGCATTCACGAATACTTGATGGTATGAAAGACTGTCGAGCTCTGATTTGAAGGAAGGTTATCGACAGCAGCGTCCAGAAGGAAGTAGTTCAAAATGGTGATATCAAATATGTCAACTATCAAATCTAATTTTAGCTGCCTTTTTTACTATACTCGAAATACACTCCAGAACTGTTGCAAGCAGTATTAACAATATTGAAAAGTCTGTTTTTGTTGCGATGAGACGGATCCCCATACAACATAGAAAATTGTAGGTCAAAACACTTTGAATAAAGGTTTGATAAAAAACTGTCATTACGGTTTTGTCAATGCCTTGACGATAATAATGTTCAGAATCAGAAATTAGGCCAGTAACAGTGGCGTCATCTGCAAATTTCACAGTAAACAAGTCATATATTGACACGTAACAGTCATTGGTATACAAAACAAAGAGTACGGATGAAGGAACACAGCCATACGGATCTCCAGTAGAGGTTGAGAGGAAAGAAGATTGATAGCCATTGACACTGACATACTGAGTTCTATGTACCCTGAATTCTTTAACCCATCTGATATTTTTTTATTAACACCTAGATTAAATAGTTTACTCCTCACACGGTGTGGCTGTATGGTATTAGTTGTTGCAAGTCTGCAGATGAGAGTAAATAGTATACATCGATTGAGATTTCAATTCTTAAAATGATTAGGTAACTATCTTGGCAATTGATCGTTTGCTTGAAAGGTATGAATTTCGAGTACTCGGGTCCTAGTCGAGTCTCATCCCTCGAGTACTCGAGTCCAAAAAAATGGACTCGTTGAAGCCCTAACTGTCATACTGCTCAATATGAAACTCATCGAAAATGAGTGATCAGAATTTTGGGGTCAGTTATTTTTTCAAATAAGTGATAGAGAAATTCTGATGTTAAAATGAAATCCGGTGTGAAACAGATACAGTGTTGTAATTAAGACTCACATCACAATATTTCACAAAGTTCTTACATAAACATCATCCTAATGCAAAGATGCACAAGTTTGAATCCTACATTCTTGGTTTGTTGGTGTCAGCCAGTATTGTCTGCTAATCGACCATGATCGCAGTCACTTTTGAAGCTTCAATTTTAAGTCAAGTCTTTCCAATGTTTCAGTATCATCGTCAAATAAGCATTTGTTGCCAATACCATTCCCAAGAGAAAATTGTGATATTCTGATCAGGTTTGATAATGGAATTTGACTCTGTATTGTGATGTGTTTTCCCAAATTGTTTTTGCCTGGTTAACAACAGTGTAAATGGAAAAGAAGCACATTGCCATTAGCGATGATGAAGTCAATTTCGATGCCATTAGTGACTAACCAAATCTGTTGAGGTGTAGTTGAAGATTACAGCTCCATTCCCTCTGGCATGCTTTTAATAGCACACCTTCAGGCACCAATTTGAACCAGTTTGGAACAACAAGACTTTCTTTTCCGTGTAATAGAAAACTGCCATCATTGTGCTGACCATGTCCATGACAATCTGGGGACCTTCCCAGCACAGATAATGGTGCTTCAAAGAGAATCTTTGGAGCTGTTTTGTGGTATGAGAAGCGCTTGAATGTTTGAGGCAGTGTTATATGTTTACTGCTCTGTCGGTTGGTAATGGAGGTGGGATAACTGCTGTTATCCTCTAATGGCATGCCTGCATCTGTGTGGTAGCAACCAGCGTTGTGCACTTATCACTGGTTCCCCAGCATTCTTCATGTCACAGCAGGATCCATTCTCTTGCACCTCTTTGTCAATCATTGTCTTATCGTATGACATTTTTGCTTCATTTTTTAGTTCAATCTTATCTCTGTGAAGGCAAATTACATTTTTTAGGACTCCCAACAATGACATTTCTAACTATTTATTGTAGAATATTTATTTGAAAGGTCACTAGTAATATGTCTTTGTTTACAAAGAAGTAGCTGATGATCAGTTGACCTTTGATTGGGTGAATGTCAAAAGTAATCCTTTCTTTTCATTTAATTTTGATAATTGATGTTTTATGTATCATACTGTTCATTAAACATGTTCTTCTATTCATCATTTCCCATTTGTTTCTCACATTATTTCTGCAAAATTACATTTTCTGTTTCACATAAAATGAACATTGTCACTTGATAATATTTTTCAAACACTGATCCTATTTGTCTTGATGTTTATGGGGTAATGTTTTTCTTTTGCTTTCAGCTAATATTTCTACATGGCCTAGGTGATACAGGGTGAGTGTTTCCTCTTCATTATATAGAGAAATAGTTACTCTTTGTGTTAAGGTATGGACAGAAAGTGTTATCATAGTTAGAAACATCAGTGCGATTGTCTGCAATTGCTCATAACACTAAGTCTAAGCTGTGACATTAAACATATTATAATGTCATTGTTGTCCTGTGTGAATGTCATTCTTCTGTTATCATAGTGCCATTCTTGTGTAACCGTAGTTTCATTGTAGTGATACCATTGTATCATTGTTGTGTTATCATAGTGAGACATTGTAAGTGCCCAGAGGGCATGTCATTCATGTGAAAATTCCTTGAACAGAACATGATCATTCCAAATGACTTACAGTGACATTACAGTTACAATGAACACTTGACACCAGAGTTCGTGACTGAAACTTAATTTCATGATAACTTGTTCAGTGAGTATTTGTTGACAACTTGTCTTGACAGTGTTCTAATTGTGCATTGTGCAAATTTTCCAAAGTTTGCCAAATTAAACTGATATTACAACAAATTTGACTTTGTTCTCAGCTTTGGTGAATCGAATCGAAATTAATCGAATCGAATGAATTTAATCTATAATCGTAGCGAAACGAAGTGAGAGTGAATCGTGACACCCCTAACTGTCATCATAGTGTCATTAAGTATTATACTGTCATCATAGTGTCATTAAGTATCATTGTGTCATCATAGTGTCATCATACTGTCATTAAGTATCATTGTGTCATCATAGTGTCATCATAGTGTCATTAAGTATCATAGTGTCATTAAGTATCATTGTGTCATCATAGTGTCATCATAGTGTCATTAAGTATCATTGTGTCATCATACTGTCATCATACTGTCATTAAGTATCATTGTGTCATCATAGTGTCATCATAGTGTCATTAAGTATCATAGTGTCATCATAGTGTCATTAGTATCATAGTGTCATCATAGTGTCATTAAGTATCATAGTGTCATCATAGTGTCATTAAGTATCATACTGTCATCATAGTGTCATTAAGTATCATACTGTCATCATAGTGTCATATAAGTATCATAGTGTCATCATAGTGTCATTAAGTATCATACTGTCATCATAGTGTCATTAAGTATCATACTGTCATCATAGTGTCATTAAGTATCATACTGTCATCATAGTGTCATTAAGTATCATACTGTCATTAAGTATCACACTGACATCATAGTGTCATTACATATCATACTGTCATCATACTGTCATTAAGTATCACACTGTCATCATAGTGTCATTACATATCATACTGTCATCATACTGTCATTAAGTATCACACTGTCATCATAGTGTCATTACATATCATACTGTCATCAAACTGTCATTAAGTATCACACTGTCATCATAGTGTCGTTACATATCATCCTGTCATTAAGCATCCTACTGTCGTCATAGCGTCATTACATATCCTACTGTCATCATAGCGTCATTACATATCCTACTGTCATCATAGTGTCATTACATATCATACTGTCATCATAGTGTCATTACATATCATACTGTCATCATAGTGTCATTACATATCACACTGTCATCATAGTGTCATTACATATCATACTGTCATCATAGTGTCATTACATATCATACTGTCATCATAGTGTCATTACGTATCACACTGTCATCATAGTGTCATTACGTATCATACTGTCATCATACTGTCATTAAGTATGACACTGTCATCATAGTGTCATTACGTATCATAGTGTTATTCTTCTTCATAGAGATCGTCCTTGGGGTACATATTATGCATTTTCCACGCTGAAAATGTCCTGTGACAGTTGTATCAATGTTTTTGAATAAAAAGATTGTACAATAAATAAACTTTTTTATTTATTATACGTCCCCCACCTCGTGGAGTTACCTCCCGTTGTGCATGCGCACCAACTGGGTAATCACCTAGGCCCGTATCATCATTCCTTCTGCTGTCACTCACATGTGAAGACGTGTTCGATGTGTAGAGCAGCGCTGTATTCTCCAAAAGAAATTGAAAGAGATATGTCTGAGAGACACCACCTGTATGTATGGTCTTTATTTTATGTCCTTGAAAGGAACAGTAAAGCCAGCGGTCGGTTGTTTCATAATTGTGACTTTGTATTAATTAATTTACGCTATCTTTCCCGTGGTTTACGCACATGTTGCTCTGCCATGGCGGGAAGTTTAGCGTGCCACGTGATTGTAATATTGCGTATTGAACCAACTTTTTCTTCCCATGGTAGCCTTCACATATTTTTCAATGTTTTATACGTGTCTATTAGCTGCTGGTCAGCTGTTAGCTTCATGCTTGCATGTTTGCTTTCAGGCGTTTTCCTCCTGTTCGCTCTGTGCACAGAGCATTCCCAGGGCTGACCGCCATGACAAATGTAATGTCTGTATGGAAAAAACGGACCATATCTCAGAAACCTGTGAAATATGTATGGGGTTTTCCCCGGACCCAGAAGTGAAGGCGGATTTTCTCTTTAGAGAAATGCGGGGAGGTGAGGAGGAACTGACCCAGGTCCCCGTCCAAAGCCAAAAAGCCTCGTAGGCAAGGCAAAAAGTCAGCGCCAGTCGCCTTCTCACGCTCCTAGTAGCGGTTTTGACATGTCGTTAATTACGCAGATGTTCCAGCAGCACGCAGACTCGATGAGGTCCCTCGTTCATGAGACGGTTGGAGGACTCCGGCAGGAGTTCCTCGCCCACTCTGAGCGTGGGACGGAGAGTCTGGGGGTGGGATTGCCGAGCCCGGCTCGATCCATCGGCCTTGAGGCGTCTGTAGATCCGCTGCCTCTGGCTTCGGGTCCGGACGCCTCGGCTGCCCCGGAGGGGGAGGCTTCGCTCCCAGTCCCCCTCTCGGAGTTGGCGCAGGGTCCGTTGAGGATTCCTGGGGTTCCGGTCCCTGCGCCGTCCCGCCCCATGAGAGCGGAGGCACCAGTTCTGCCTGGTCTGCCTCCAGCGTCTCGGGACCGGAGTCTGTGCGAGATGGCAGGTGCCGACGCGGGGCGCTCTGTCTGCTCCTCCCTCTCTTCTGTGCCTGGTGCTAGGCTGCCCACCGGCTCGGGCGCCGAGTCCATGGATACTGGGGAGGTAGAGGAGCAGGAGGGTGCCTTCGGTTTTTCGTCGGCTTTGCGGGAGGTCCGGCAACGCATTGCCGAGTACCTACCCCAGGCCGCGGTGCCTGCCAGCCGTACAGACTCGTCTGAGTTCCGCCTGCCAGGCGAGGCTGCTCCGTATTCTCCCATCGTTGGTTCAGGACGTGGTTGATCCCCTCTTGTCTGGGTCTCGCCTCCGTTTCGACTTGCCTGAGCTTGTCCGGAGATACCAGCTGGGGGAGGATTCCCTGTTCGCTGTTCCAGTGGTGGATGAGTGCGTGTTTACTTCGGTCGCCTTGGGGGAAGGCTCGGCAAGGGCGGTTAACACTGCAGTTTGCCCTCGCGGGCGCCCCCCTGTGACATGTGTACCGGACCTACGAGGAGGTCTACCGGAACGCCATGCAGCAGGTGCGGGTCGTGGTCCATGAGGCCTACCTCTCCTCGATACAGAGGTCGGCCCTGGAGGCGGAGGGGCATGCTGGAGACGTTTCTCCGCATGTCGTGCTACTCCGTCAGTTATCCGAAGTTCAGGCACACCTCACGCGCGACTCCTTGCGGTCAGCTGCGTCGACGGTGATGTGCGCAGTCATGGGGATGCGCAAGCTGTGGCTGTCGACGTCTCGGTACTCGGCAGCTACACATCAGACCTTGCTGGCCCTTCCCTACCGTCTGGGAGCGACGTTGTTTCCTGGGGCCCAGCAGGTCATACGGGAGGCTGCCGCTGCAGCTACCTCCTTCAAGGACTCTAAGGCCTTGTTGGAGCACCCGCGGGCTTCTCGCCCCCCCCGCTCCCGTTCCACCTTCCTCCGCCGGGGTGCAGCCTACCCCCGAGTCCGCTGGCTGGCTTGGCAGGGGTAGGCGGAGGAACAGGTCCGCCAAGGGTAAGGGCAAAGAGCAGTCCTCTTCGACTAGCTGGACAAGTCTGCAATCGAGCACATTCCACCGGGAGAGGAACAGGCGGGATTTTCTCCACGTACTTCCTCGTCCCGAAGAAAGACGGCGGGTTCCGTCCCATTCTCAACCTCAAGGGGTTGAATCGCATGCTAGAAGTACCATCCTTCAAGATGGAGACACTGCGCTCGGTGATCTCCTCTGTTCAGCCCGGCGATTGGCTCACGTCAATCGACCTCAAGGATGCGTATCTGCATGTGCCCATACATCCATCGTTCAAGCAGTACCTTCGGTTCTCTTACGACGGGATGTGTTACCAATTCCGCGGTGCTTCCCCGGCATATCCACTGCCCCAAGGGTGTTCACCAAGCTCATGTTAGTCCGGCTACCCTGCGGCTGTTTCGCAAGGATGGCGTTGTTACCCTTACCTCGGCGACTGGTTGCTTTCGGCACTAACTCAGCCAGCGAGCCTAGATGCTACTCACGCGGTGATAGACATTCTAGTTCGACTGGGGTGGATCATCAACCTCAAAAGAAATCCGACCTGGTACCCACCCAGGACTTGGTTTTTCTCGGTAGCGAGGTTCCAAACACACAAGGATCTCCTTGTAAGCCCGACCCGGTCACCAGAGTGCACCGGAGGAGATGGTGTCTTCGTTCCTCTCCCAGCCCCAGGCACCAGCAGCGGCTCTGTCTACTGGGCCATATGGCGGCGATCTCTGTAGTGTGGCGGTAGCGGTTGAGGATCGCCTTATACAGCAAGCTTTGGCCGAGTCTGTGGGCTCACTCGGAGGACCTGGAGCGGAGTCTCACAGTCCCCGGGTGATTGACACCTCACCTTCAGTGGTGGACCGATGTCGGGAATCTCACCAGGGGGATCCTCTTGGAAATCCCGACGCCAGCTCTTACAGTTCAGACCGATGCGTCCCTCACGGGCTGGGGGGGGTGTTCTGGGCAGTCTGTCGGTGTCCTGACTCTGGTCCGAAGCCGAAGCCCACCTTCACATCAACGTGTACGAACTGAGAGCTGTGCGGTTGGTTTTCGAGCGCTTCCGAGAGCATGTCCAGGGCCAGGTGGTTCGTCTTCAGTTGGACAACCTGACGTCCATGTCTTACATCCCGAGGGCTCCTCCGGGAGACATGGGACTTTCTCCTCTGGTGCGACCAGTGCGATTGTCAGGTACTCCCTGTTTATCTCCCGGGGCTGGAGAGCGTCGAGCAGGCGCTCTCTCGCGCGGATCCTGGCCCCGCTGGTGAGTGGATGCTCGACAGGCAGATATTCAGAGTTATCTCCCAGTTATGCGAATTAGTTCCAGGTGGATCTGTTTCGCGTCCGGCGGGGCCGAATCAGACACCTCGGAGCAGCTCCGGCTGCTTTCGCAAAGAGGCGATTAACACTGCAGTTTGCCCTCGCGGAAAGCCCCTGTGACATGTGTACCCGGACCTACGAGGAGGTCTACGGAGCGCCATGCGGCAGAGTGCTGGGTGGTGGTCCATGGACCTACCTCTCCTTACCGATACAGAGGTCGGCCCTGGGGCGGAGGGGCATGCTGGAGGCGTTTCTCCGCGTAATGGGTGCTACTCCGTCAGTTATCCGGAAGTTCAGGCACACCTCGCAGCGACTCCTTGCGGTCAGCTCGTCGGCGGTGATGTGGCGCAGTCATGGGGATGCGCAAGCTGTGGCTGTCGGCGTCACCGGTGCTTTCGGCAGCTACACATCGAACCTTGCTGGCCCTTCCCTACCGTCTGGGGCGGCGTTGTTTCCTGGGGCCCAGCAGGTCATCACGAGGAGGCTGCCGCTGCAGCTACCTCCTTCAAGGACTCTAAGGCCTTGTTGGAGCACCAGCGGGCTTCTCGCCCCGGCTCCGTTCCACCTTCCTCCGCCCGGGCTGCAGCCTACCCCGAGTCGCTGGCTGGCCCGGCCGCTTAGCAGGGTAGGCGGAGGAACAGGTCGCCCAAGGGTAAGGGCAAAGAGCAGTCCTCTTGACTGGCTCCCAGCCGGTAGCGGGAGGTCTGCCCGACCTCCCATTAACCCATCAGGCTGTAGACCCAGCCGTGTGTCCTCCCAGTCAGCTCCGCTGCCCGGGACCACGCAGCTCTTACCCCACATCCCAGTGGGAGGCCGCCTCTCTCTATTCCTGCCGGAGTGGGAGAAGGCTACAAACAACACTTGGGTGCTGTCCACCATAAGTGTAGGCCATTTACCGCTGTGGAAGCGAGGTCCTCCCGATTTCACTGGCATACGCCGCACTCCGGTGCCGTCATGTCAGGCAAGGGCGGACATATTGCGCGACGAAGTTCAGGCTCTGCTGGACAAGTCTGCAATCGAGCACATTCCACCGGGAGAGGAACAGGCGGGATTTTACTCCACGTACTTCCTCGTCCCGAAGAAAGACGGCATGTTCCGTCCCATTTTCAACCTCAAGGGGTTGAATCGCATGCTAGAAAGTACCATCCTTCAAGATGGGAACACTGCGCTTCGGTGATCTCCTCTGTTCAGCCCGGCCGATTGGCTCACGTCAATGCGACCTCAAAGGATCGCGTATCTGCATGTGCCCATACATCCATCGTTCAAGCAGTACCTTCGGTTCTCTTCACGGCGGGATGTGTTACCAATTCACGGTGCTTCCTTGGCATATCCACTGCCCCAAGGGTGTTCACCAAGCTCATGTTAGTCCGGCTACCCTGGCTAAGCTCGCAAGGATGGCGTTGTTACCCTTACCTCGGCGACTGGTTGCTCGGCGCACTAACTCAGCCAGCGAGCCTAGATGCTACTCACCGCGGTGATAGACATTCTAGTTAGACTGGGGTGGATCATCAACCTCAAGAAATCGACCTGGTACCCACCAGGACTTGGTTTTTCGGCGAGGTTCCAAACACACAAGGATCTCCTTGTAAGCCCGACCCGGTCACCAAGTGCGAGGAGATGGTGTCTTCGTTCCTCTCCCAGCCCCAGGCACCAGCGGCTCCGTCTACTGGGCCATATGGCGGCGGCGATCTCTATAGTGTGGCGGGCCCGGTTGAGGATGCGCCTTATACAGCAAGCTTTGGCGAGTCTGTGGGCTCACTAGGAGGACCTGGAGCGGAGTCTCACAGTCCCCGGGTGATTGACACCTCACCTTCAGTGGTGGACCGATGTCGGGAATCTCACCAGGGGGATCCTCTTGGAAATCCCGACGCCAGCTCTTACAGTTCAGACCGATGCGTCCCTCACGGGCTGGGGGGGTGTTCTGGGCAGTCTGTCGGTGTCCTGACTCTGGTCCGAAGCCGAAGCCCACCTTCACATCAACGTGTACGAACTGAGAGCTGTGCGGTTAGTTTTCGAGCGCTGGGACATGTGACAGGTGAGTGTTATGGCGTCTGTTACATTATTCAATTGACGATAGCTATTTGTATGTGCATGGACAGAATTCCCTCCTCCATAGTGCCTCCGGTCTTTGTGAGTCTGTGTTTATGCATAATATGTACCCCAAGGACGATCTCTATGAAGAAGAATTAACCAAACCTGAAGAGGTTTTCAATTCTTCGAAGAGAGTCGTCCTTGGGGTAGGGCCCTCCGCCTTCCCGCAATTCTGTTCACTGATTTATTCAGCACAAGGAATGATGATACGGGCCTAGGTGATTACCCAGTTGGTGCGCATGCGCAACGGGAGGTAACTCCACGAGGTGGGGGCCGTATAATAAATAAAAATGTTTATTTATTGTACAATCTTTTTATTCAAAAACATTGATACAACTGTCACAGGACATTTTCAGCGTGGAAAATGCATAATATGTACCCCAAGGACGACTCTTCGAAGAATTGAAAACCTCTTCAGGTTTGGTTAATTACGTATCATACTGTCATTATAGTGTCATTACATATCATACTGTCATCATAGCTTCATTACGTATCATAGTGTCATTACGTATCACACTGTCATTATAGCGTCATTACATATCATACTGTCATCATAGCGTCATTACGTATCATAGTGTCATTACGTATCACACTGTCATTATAGTGTCATTACATATCATACTGTCATCATAGCGTTATTACGTATCATAGTGTCATTACGTATCACACTGTCATTATAGTGTCATTACATATCATACTGTCATCATAGCGTTATTACGTATCATAGTGTCATTACGTATCACACTGTCATTATAGTGTCATTACATATCATACTGTCATCATAGCGTCATTACGTATCATAGTGTCATTACGTATCACACTGTCATTATAGTGTCATTACATATCATACTGTCATCATAGCGTCATTACGTATCATACTGTCATCATAGAGTCATTATTGATGATGGTAGTGTTACATAACGAACTATTAGATAGTTTCATTGGAGTGTTCGTAGATATGCTGGTAGATGAGCCTGTAACAATAAAAAAATCAAACCTACTTTTTCTGATGAATTACTTTGGATGGATCAAGTGGCCTTTCACTTTAGTATTCACATGTAGGATACATAATGTGAAAGTTCAGATAGTTTTATTAAAGTGAAATGACTTTATGTGGGAGTGAGTTATTTATGCTGTTCATACAGGAGGCATAGGCCTTTTTAGTCTCAACCTTGTCGGCAGAATGTGACAAAGTAGTGTTGTACAGATATTTCTTGACAGGTGCCCAGGAAATCGCTTACTCACAGAAAGTATGGTATTAAGATAATTGTGGGGAGTTTGATCGTGTGAAGTGACTTTCTGGTATTTCAGTATATGGCAATTCTCAATGATTATTCAATTGAAGTCATTTGGCATAACAAAACTTGGTTATTGAGATAACTGCATCATGATGTCATTGTTTGTTTATGATGAATGGCTTACATTATTTAGTTGAAAATTTATAAACCCCTTAAGTGAAGTTTGTCTGTAGGATGTGATTGTCATTGATGTTGCGTAAGATGTCATTGTGTAACACATAGAATAACTGGTAAACCCGAAATTCAGGTTATCTGTCCTGAGTGACTGAAGGCTGTAAGTCTCAAGCCAGACACTGTGTATTCAGTCGGGACATAACAGTAGGGCTAAAGACTTACAGCATCCATTCAGGTGGAACAGAAAATCTGCAATTCCTTCTGAGTTCTTATTACCCGTGAAGATCCGGGTTAGAATATTGATCTTCAGTAACCCATGCTTGTCATAGGAGTCAGGCTCACTGACTTGGTTGACACATGTCATCGGTTCCCAATTGTGCAAATCGATGCTCATGCTATTGATAACTGGATTGTCTGGTCCAGACTCGATTATTTACAGACCGCTGCCATATAGCAGGATTATTGCTGAGTGCAGCGTAAAACTAAACTCACTCACTCACTCTGGGTACTTATTTATTCTCTAATGATTTCTTCATTTCAGAAGAAGCTGGGCAGATCATTTCAAGACGCTGAATCTTCCCAACATCAAATGTATATGCCCAACAGCGTAAGTTGTCAGTTCTCTATCAATAGACTCCTGTACCTTCTTTGAGTGGCATTTTAGAAGTTGCTTGACAATGGTACAAGAATCTGTATCGAAACGTCGCACTCACGAATAAAAAGAAGTTGTTATCCATAGAGGTTGTTCCATATTGACATCGAGTCGTAGGTGGAGCATGACGACCAGCTTGTGTGTCATCACACCAGGATCCTCATCTGTGCTGCTGGCTTGCTGTAAAGACTGGATTAGACATGGTAGCTGAAGTCACCGTGATATATTGCTGAGTACTGGGTGAAACATTCACTCACTCAATCCCTTTATGCTGAGAAGAACTTTAATAAATATTCAGATTACGAATGAGGAATTTTCCTCTATGATCATGATGTTGGGATTCATTTACCAAGAGTTTATTATCTGCATTATGGCAATGATTCTCAGTGTTTCAAAATGTGGACATCGTGAAGATGAGTGATCTTGAAAAAAATCTTAATTGGGGAAAAGCTTTGCATCCTCGCTAATGATGTGTATTTGTGTTGGCACTTCATAATTTGTCTGTCAAGGGCTGGTTATTTAAGTTTGCATGGTAAAGATAATGTAACTTAAATATCTGTCTTGATGCACAGAGATGTATCATCAGGAAGGAATCAGCTGCACGGTGCCTTAGTGACAAATTCATGATGTGATCACACGGACACTATTACACATGCTCATTACTCCTGGGTTTTTTTTACTGGTATTTTCATTGATAATGGAACACATTTCGACAGTGTCTGTGTTGAGATGGCAACTCTGAATTATTTGGAGAAAAAGACAATTTAATTATCTGGAAAATTTGGAAAAGGTTGAAGATTTGCATGAAATGATGCTCGCCCCATCGTTCTGTTTGTATGCGGCACTCTGGTATTGATTGTGTGGAGGTATGGTAATTATTATGCAATATTGATCAATGGCTTTACAAATGGAGGCACACTGACAACTTAATTGGCACAGCAAATATGTTGTGGTCTAAGTCAATCAATAACACTAATTGTGCCTCGTCATGGTTTTCTCATAAAGGAAACTTCATTGTCAAAATATATGATTTGTTTGTTTGTTGTTTAATGCCTCACTCAGCAATATTGGAGCTATTTGGCAGTAGTGAAATATAAGAACACTTGTGATTGATTTAGAAAGTGAATTGTTACACCAAAGTTTTATACATGTCAATTTGCTTTGAGAAGTCTAGCATGAAAGTTAATTATCCCCCTCAACAACGAAGATACGGGGTATATAGAAATGAGTTCCGTCCGTCCGTCTGTGTGTCTGTCCTTGCGTCCATCACACTTTGTCCGAAGCATATCTTCCAAACTATACATACTAGCTTTATGAAGCTTGGTACACATATCAAGCATGATCCTTAGATGTGCCTTTTGGGGGTTAGACCCAGATATGAATTTTATTTTTTGCTGTTTCCATGGAAACATGACTTAGGCTGTGGCTATGAGGATGTCATCTTGTTGCATTTACATGGCAACAAGTTAGTCTTCAGCTGAATTTGGTGGTAGTGCTCCTTTCTGGAGCAAATCTTAAACACCTTTCAATCCTCTCCTTCCACTTTGCTGTATACACTCCAAAACATTTGACATAATCATAACTAGCAGACGTATTCATAAAGAGTATTTTGCCGTTGCAGGGGATATTGATGACTTTGTCTTCTTGTTTCACTTTGCTATCTTATGTATACACCAGGATATTAAGCAGTTGGAACATATTTGTCACATGTAACATAACGTATCAGGTGTGTCATGTATGCATCAAGTATGCATTAAACAGGGTTTTACGCAACTCATGTAGAGAATGGACACTGAAAAACAATTCAGTGTCCAGAGGGACGTACAGTATTATTCACTGTATCTATGACTTTGCTAAGTGTTTGTTATTTTCTTTCAGAGTAGTTACGTGCATCATTTCATCCATCAGTCCACATGTTCAATGATTCATTCCAGGCTCTAAAGAAATTATCAAACTGTACACTTCTCTACACTGTTACTTCACAGGACTGTCATATTGTCTGCAAGGTCCAGTAAAACTAATATACCCAGACCCCCATGTTTGTGAGTCAGGGTAAAACCCTGATTAAGTATATATCATTGTATTGCAAAATCTATGGTAATTTCACAGACAGTCATATGTTTGTACAGGGTTTAGATAAATTCATTTTCTGAGACAGTGAATGATTGGTATGCAAAACAGATTTGTCGATGATGTTTAAGAATGTTGTATCCAGAGTTTATAAGATCTTTAAATACTATTGTAAATCACTGTTTTAATGAGTGACCTTTAGCTGGAAGTGTGCCATGACATAGTGGGTGATGTTCTCATGACTTGTTGTGTTTGTTTCAGAGCTATAGCACCTGTATCTTTAAATGGAGGTTTCCCAATGCCATCTTGGTAAGTGAGAGAAGTTGTTTCTAGGCTCAACTGTATACAAGGACTACATGATGATCCTGTGTAGATCCCATAGTGATGCCCTGTGTAGATCCCATAGTGATGCCCTGTGTAGATTTGATAGTGGTGCCTTGTGTAGATTCCATAGTGGTGCCCTGTGTAGATCCCATAGTGGTGCCCTGTGTAGATTCGATAGTGGTGCCCTGTGTAGATCCCATAATGATGCCCTGTGCAGATCCCATAGTGATGCCCTGTGTAGATCCCATAGTGATGCCCTGTGTAGATTCGATAGTGGTGCCCTGTGTAGATCCCATAGTGATGCCCTGTGTAGATCCCATAGTGATGCCCTGTGTAGATTAGATAGTGGTGCCCTGTGTAGATCCCATAATGATGCCCTGTGCAGATCCCATAGTGATGCCCTTTGTAGATTCGATAGTGGTGCCCTGTGTAGATCCCATAGTGATGCCCTGTGTAGATCCCATAGTGATGCCCTGTGTAGATTCGATAGTGGTGCCCTGTGTAGTTGTTGGTGCCTATCATGGCTAAATCACCAATTATTTTCCGCCTTTTCCCTTCTGTGGGTAATATTTGTAAATGCATCAGAGATCCCTTCTCCAAAAAGCTGATTTCAGCCTTTCCATTTTTATATTTCTTCCCTCCAACAACTTCTGACATTCACAAAGATCAAACATATAAGAGGTAATGGCCTAACGAGGAAACACAAGCCTATTGAATATAAATACTGTAAATGTACAAGATCAAATTCAGGAGTACTGCACTTTACCGGATGCACTTTTTCAGATTAATTAGCGCTGCTGGGATACCCTAACCCTAACCCCTAACCCTAAGGATCGTAAAGGGTGCCTAACCCTAAGGATTGTAAAGGGTGGCATACCCTAACCCTAAGGATCATAAAGGATGGCATACCCTAACCCTAACCCTAAGGATCGTAAAGGGAGCAGCGAGGGCTGCGCCCGGTAAAGTGCATTCTAGCCTCAAATTCTGTTTCATTTTTTGTGTTTTTAAAAGAGAAAATATCAAATGTTCAAAGTAAATGCATCTGTGGAGAACCAAGGAACCAGTCTATGCAGAAACATGGAACCAGTCTATAGAGAACTAAAGAACCAATGTGTGGAGAAGAAAGGAACCATTACAAAGAACCAGTCAAAGGAGTGTATGCAGAAACAAGGAAACCCAACAAGCAACCAGTCTATGGAAAATCAAGGAACCATTTCAAGGAACCAGTCTATGGAGAACCAAGGAACCAGTCTTTGCAGAAACAAGGAGCCAGTCAATGCAGAAACAAGGAACCAGTCTTTGCAGAAACAAGGAGCCAGTCAATGCAGAAACAAGGAAACCTTACAAGGAACCAGTTTATGTAAATAGTTTCAGTAGAATACCAGTGTAGACTTGATCTTCCACTTGTTGAATCTGATCAGATGCACACATGCGTACTGGCTTAACAGTGTTTATATTTCTTCAGGTTTGATATATATGGTCTCTCAGCTGAAAGTGCAGAAGATGAGGAGGGCATTAAGAAAGCCAGTAATATCAGTGAGTGATTGTTTATGATCTACTTGATGTGAGTGATATATTCATGATCTTGATGTGAGTGATATATTCATGATCTACTTGATGTGAGTGATATATTCATGATCTACTTGATGTGAGTGATATATTCATGATCTACTTGATGTGAGTGATATATTCATGATCTACTTGATGTGAGTGATATATTCATGATCTACTTGATGTGAGTGATATATTCATGATCTGCTTGATGTGAGTGATATATTCATGATCTGCTTGATGTGAGTGATATATTCATGATCTACTTGATGTGAGTGATATATTCATGATCTTGATGTGAGTGATATATTCATGATCTACTTGATGTGAGTGATATATTCATGATCTACTTGATGTGAGTGATATATTCATGATCTGCTTGATGTGAGTGATATATTCATGATCTACTTGATGTGAGTGATATATTCATGATCTGCTTGATGTGAGTGATATATTCATGATATGCTTCATGTCAATGAGTGAAGTGAGCATGAAATATTTAAGGACTGTGAGTGACATAGACATGTTCTGCTTAAGTCAGTGGGTGATATATGTGCATGATGTACTTTATGTCCATCGGTGATATACAGGCATGATATACTGGATGTCATTGGGTTTACACACATGAAATACTTGATGTGGGTGATATGGAAATGATATACTTGGTGTGAACAGTAAGTGATATGACATGACTGGTTTGCTGCTAAACGCCACACTCAGCAATATTCCAGCTATATTGCAGTGGTCTGTAGAAAATTGAATCTGGACCAGACAATCCAGTGATCAAGATTATGAGCATCATTGTATGCAATTTGGATATGATGACATGTGTCAACCAAGTCAACGAGCCTGACCACCCGATCCCATTAGTCTCTTACGACAAGCATAGGTTACTGAAGATCAATTCTAACCCGGATCTTCAATGGTAGATATGACATGATGTACTTGAAGTAGGTGAGTGATATGTATATATATATATATATTCAGTGTGTGGTATGTGAATGATATACTTATAAATTAGTGGTATACATGATGTACTTCGTTACTAGGTAATATTTCTTAGATGTAGAGTAAAACAATATTGGTACCTCATTGCTGGAAATGAAATCACCTGACATTTTGTGATGTTTCAGCAGCTTATGTAGTCCCAGTATTGAAAATAACTATTACATTCACTTTCATACTTACCCATTCGTTGTTTCCCAGTTAAGTCTCTAATTGAAGAGGAGGAGAAGGCAGGCATCCCGTCCAGTCAGATTGTGATCGGGGGCTTTTCTCAAGGAGGGGCAGTAGCTCTCTACACCGCGTTTAACCTCGGCAAGCCAATAGGTGGTGTCCTGGCTCTCAGCACGTGGATGCCACTGCATAAAAAATTCCTAAAGCTGGTATGTGAAACACAAGCATGCATCGGGGTTAACTTGTCCAAGCTGATACCTCCAAGAGAAGTATAGTTTTTGTATCACCAAAGAGGGGTGGTTGGGGTAGCCAAGTGGTTAAGGCATTTGCTGGTCACGCCGAAGACCCAGGTTCCATTCCCCATGTGGGTACAATGTGTGAAGCCCATTTCTGGTGTCCCCTGCCGTGATATTGCTGGAATATTGCTAAAAGCGGCGTAAAACCAAGCTCACCAAAACCTGTTAATGATGGTGTTTGTACACTATTCTGTACATTTCATTTGTAAACCTTTGCAAAGTTTCTTTGCTGTTAGTGGCATGCATGAATATTCATAATGGTTATTAACTTAACTAGTTAAATCTGATTTTAAGTGTACGATAATGTCTATTTTATACTTATCCTGACTCATGCTCTTTTGCTTGTCTCCTTCCTCTTGCGAACATAGTGGAACACTTGTATCTCCCCAATTGAAGTTCCCTTCAATGTAAAATCACTAATTAGTACTCACCACGAGTTACCCCAAGCGCGGGAACGAGGGCACCACCTCCACCCATGTGCCTCACTCTCTCCTTCTTCGCCCAGTGAGCTGGACGTGAGAGCACCTGTGTCTCCCGAAACACTATATCCTTTGATTATATTTACTTAGTTACCTCGTATAGACATCTATAGAGGTTTAGCTAGTATCTTTCAATAATTATATATTGATATTTAGTCGTGTTTCTACTGTTTATTCACGGGACGCCATGTTTGTTTCAATGGATTACGTTGATGTAAATTCTGTACTATTACAGATTACTTTTTTATTCTGCTGCTGATCCGCATTTAATATGCCCTAGTTGTACTGCGCCATGTTCATTTTATTCACGTTGCAGTTGTGATACTAATTTATCCAATTCTGCCTTTAATAAATATTTACTTTACGTTTGAGACGCACAGCAGATAGATTGCGTATGCAGACTGATACTTGAACCCCTCGCCAGTCTACTGCTGTTGGTCGACCCCCCTCCCGTCTGGTATTCCGCTAGAGTGGTGGAGAGGCGTGGGACGTAGTCCGCCGCCTCCAAGAAGCGTCCTGCTTCCCCAGACATCCCATCGTCGCAGCCGAAGACTAGAGGGCTTCTACTACATCTCAACGCAGACTTCACACCCCCAGGGCAGCGTCGACCTCTGAGGGGAATTCTACGAAGTCTACTAGAACTTTCTCAGCCGAGATTGTTCACATTGCAGATTTGGGCCTGTATGATGATCAGCCGATCATCATACCTGATGTACATCAAAAGAATGACCGATGTCGGCAACAGTGATGTCAGCGCAGATCAACATGCAACCTGATGTACCAACGCTGATATTCGATGATCTTCCTGAGGGTCCCGTCGCTGCCAACACTCAACGCAGACTTCGCAGACCTCTGAGGGGAAATCAACGAAGTCTACTAGGACTTTCTCAACCGAGATTGTTCCAGCCGCTGAACTGGACCTCTACGATGATCAGCCGATCATCATCCCCAACGTATGAGACAAGAAGCGACCGGTGACAGCTACAATGACATCAGCAGAGATCGCCATGCAGCCTGATGTCTCTACACTGATGTCAGACGACTTCCCTGAGGGCCCCACCGCTAACATCGCAGAGAGGGTACCGACCACTTCGTCGGCCAGCCCAGAGCATGAGCCTTCGCGAAGGTTCCAACGAAGACGACACCCCAGAGGCACCCCCCGTCAGCGTAGCAGCCACGGCGAAGCCACCTTCGCGAAGGAAGTCACAGACCACCTCGACGAAGGACCCAGATGTACAGCCTTCGCAAAGGCCTTCACGAAGACGGGATAGATCATCACATTCCTCGGCTTCATCCTTAGATGCAGATTCAGACCACCAGACCTCACGGAAGCATTCACGAAGGTCAAAGTCGCCGTTCCCCAGGACCGGACGCAGAGGAAGCGTCGCGAAGGCACTCGCGAAGAACACCTGATTCCAGATCGTCATCTGCCAGAAGGACATCGAGGGACTACTCAAGAGCTTCGCGAAGCTATCAAGTCTCCTCACAGGTCTCCGAGAAGGTCAACCCAAAGACGAGATCATCGTCGTTCACCACGCCGATCTCCGCGTATATCACCACGTCGATCACCTCACAGGTCATCACACAGGTCTGCACAAAAGTCTACAACCAGATCGCCACGAGCGTCACCTGACATAGAGATAGTACCACACAGTCCACCATCAGAAGAGCACCAACCTGTCATCAATGATGCTGGAATAGAAGATGATGGAGGAATCATTTTCTCAGATGCAGAGATACGATATTGGTTGGTAAACAACCTAGTTCTCTCATCACCTTCCAAGAGTGACAATACGGCGCAGACATACATGATGAAGGAAGACGATGCAGATGCTATCACCCTACCTCCGATCGACCCGATTGCTGCGGTAGTACAGAATCTAGACACCACAATTGACGAACTTTCACGCCAAGAAGTTCTCCACGCACAACATGGACCCCTTCTTCAAGGCTCAAGACATCGATGAAAACTACAAATGGATCATCGATGTCAAGAATAAGAACTACAAGAATGACGATCGTAAATTGGTTCAGTTGAATCCATGACGAGAAGTATGTTCTTTGGCCTAAATAGATCTAGAACGATCGATGAGACACTTATCACCAGATTTCGTAATTCGACTTCTGAAGATAATAGGATGATCCACTCGCCCTACTTATGTTGCAGAACCAACAAGTCCCAGGGCCGCCTCAACCGCGAGCTAGAGAGCCTCACCAGCTACACAAGGGCGCCACGGAGGAGTAGCCACGTAACCCACATCCTGTTAAACACAGAGGCCGTTCGTGAAGCAAGCTCATATATATATATATATATATATACTAATGGGGCTTTGACTCGATACCTTCGCGTAGGCTAAGTGGCTCCAAGTCTACTTCACCCAGAAGATCTAGAAGGATACTTGAGAACTTAGCGAAAGTCTCTCGGCGTTCACCGAGGAAGTCTCCTCCAAGGTCTCAATATACTAGCCACTGCGTCATATATAGCTACTGTCAGTCAGTCCGTTCAAGACATCGCATAAGTTGTCTATCAACTGTATGCCAGATGCAGCTATAAGCCTTCTACGAAGAACAAATGCACAGGCTATTTACAACACAGAACGCCGCTGTATTAATTAGTCAACGACAGAAATCTTCACAGAAATCAACTATTCATTATAAATTGCTAGAATATGCAATCCCGGACGGCCATCACGATTATCTACATGCGTGACCATTACGCATATCTGCAGACAATTCAATATCGAAATTGAACAGCAGCCTTGTTACAGCGGTATAACTCATAATCGATCCAGCGTTTCTGAGAAAGAAATATGTACAACAAGTTCAACTTTAATTCTACAATTATGACGATACATTCATGTATACAGTCTACAAGCTCACAACTTGCAAGTTGTTTGTACCTTATATAAGGAAGTCGAGATTATATTCAAAACTGAAATTACTTTCACGGCGACAACCAGGAAAATAACCTACCCAGCATTAATTTTACAGAGCGAGATATTTGGCGGAGGTTTCGCCGCAGTTACCATTAACCCTCGAAACGCGTGGTCACTCGGATAACTTCGGGAGAACTTCTGGCGAAGACCGGCGTTTATGCTAATATCAAAGAGCGACAAGAATTTATTCAAGGTTGTTTTCCGCTTACACCGGTGACATCACAGTAGCGGGTATTATACAGAATCAAAATGCCTTGTTCTGATTGGACCGCTGAGGGACAACGACCTACGCAGAGGTCGATCTCAGTTCACAATTCAAGACTTACGTCTGAAAGTGACAACTATATATCAGTGAGCGAGCAAGCCTCATTACAGTCCAGTTAACCTGAACCTTCATGATTAGACTGCTTTCTTCAGGTTAGAGACCTCCCTGTCAAGTTAAAGGCGAGGGCGACGGCAGGCGATTTTTACATAAAGTTCAACGAGGACAGACACACCGGGTTGTGCACCTACATCGTCAAGGACTTATGGCGTAATTACCTAGGCGAAGATATAAGTGGATCTAAATCCCACAGCGTTTCAGACTACAGCTGAAATTCATCATCAAGCGACTAACACAACTAGATGTTTAGTAAACCTACTAAGCTTCTGTTTGGAGAATAAAACGGAAAGTTTCAAGCTCCAACTTGGGGATATGAATATAGTGCTCCAACACCTCACAAGTGAGGTTTATGAACACGCCTGGATGACATACTTGGACTCCATGATACGATGATTCTATCACGATGGCCAGCAAGAGCACTGAAAATTTATCTCCACCGAACCAAACAAGAGGAAAAAATGCAATAGATTATTTCCTCTATCATCAACTTACGCAGAGTAAAGTCTCACGTACTATATCTCCATTTGGATCAGAACTGTCATACTACGTGCATACGCGGATGGACCTAATCCGACCCTCCATGAGCTTTAATACTCGCTGATATTAGAAGCTAATTTCACACAATTGATCTACACAAATGTTATTTGAAATAATGGAGGGTTTATTTCTGGAAATACGATATGGTGGTTGCCAACCATTATCTGAGATATCACCACGAGGGCGTCTCAGGTATCCACCAATTGATCCCATGGTCCTCGCACAACAACTGACAGTTCCTCGGAGAAGATAAGTCAATCTAACAGATTTTTTACTTATCTTATAACAATACTAAATAGCTTCATGCTATATATAATTTACTTAAGCTCTTTTTTATCATCACAGTGGTTACATGATAAATGCATTAGCTAACGAACTCTACAGAGGTTTTTGGCTATTATATACGTAGCTTAAGTTAAGTATATTTTAAGCATAGTACTATACTCATATTGTAAAAATATATTAGCTAAAAAACTCTACGGAGTTTGCTATTATATAGGTACCTTAAGTTTATTCATATCTTAAGCTCAGTACTATGTTTATATCATATAAGTATATTAGCTAACAAACTCTAAAGAGTTTTTGCTATTTGGCTTAAGTTTCATCATATCTTAAGCAATATGGTTACATTATAACATGTATTAGCTAACAAACTCTACGGAGTTTCTTTCTATTATATATGTAACTTAAGCTTTTTCATATCTTAAGCGCAGTACTATGTTTATATCAAAACTCCAAAAGAGTTTTTGCTTTTATATATTGGGCTTAAAGTTTCATCATATTTTAAGCTTTATGGTTACATTATATCATGTATTAGCTAACAAACTCTACGGAGTTTTTGCTATATATATGTAGCTTAAGGTTTTCTTCATATCTTAAGCTCAATACTATGTTGATACCATATAAGTATATTAGCTAACAAAACTCTAAAAAGTTTTTAGCTATATTTAGCTTAAGGTTTACTTCATATCTTAAGCTCAATACTAGGTTTAAATCATATAAATATTTTAGCTAACAAACTCTAAAGGGTTTTTTGCTATTATATAATTAGCTTAAGTTTCATCATATCTTAAGCAGTATGGTTTACATTATAAAATGTATTAGCTAACAAACTCTAAGGAGTTTTACTATTATATATATAGCTTAGAAGTTTTAATCATATCTTAAGCTCAGTACTATGTTTATAAGATAAAAGTATATTGGTTAATAAACTCTAAGGAGTTTTTGCTATATACATTTAGCTTAAGTCTAATCATATCTTAAGCTTAGTTCTATGGTTACATTATAAATCTATTAGCTAATAAACTTTACAGAGTTTTTGGCTATTGTATATGTAGCATAAGTTAATTATATCTTAAGCACAGTACTATACTCATATTGTAAAAATATATTAGCTTACAAACTCTACAGAGTTTTGCTATATATATGTAGCTAAAGCTTATTCATATCTTAAGCTCAGCACTATGTCTATATCATATAAATATTTTAACTAACAAACTCTATAGAGTTTTGTTATTATATAATTAGCTTAAGTTTAATCATATCTTAAACTTAGTGCTATGTTTATATCTTAAAGTATTTTAGCTATCAAACTCTAAGGAGTTTATACTAGCATATTAACAAGCTTAATCTATTAGTCTTAAGCATTGTATTAATCCATGTTATATATACTTTATCATAACAAGTACATTGTAATAACCTTTATATGGCAGCATAAGTTAGCAGCAGGAATTCATCAGTTCAATGCCTTTATGAAGTTCCCATAGGGTTATTACAATCATCACAGTTTAAATCACTAATTATTAAAAATCCAAAGTATATATATTCCCACCTCCTGTTCTGTCGGATACTACAAGCAAAAGTGCATGAGTCAGGATAAGGAAAAATATGTAATTTTCAGAGTAAAATTGATATTTTATACTTATCCTGACTCATGAGGTCAGCCCTCCCATCCTCCCCACATAACACTTTGGATTTCCCTGTAAATTCAAATGTTTGGCTCAGTATATGAGGAGAGAGTGAGGCACATGGGTGGAGGTGGCGCCCTCGTTCCCGAGCTTGGGGTAACTCGTGGTGAGTACTAATTAGTGATTTTACATTGAAGGGAACTTCAATTGGGGATATACAAGTGTTCCACTATGTTCGCAAGAGGAAGGAGACAAGCAAAAGAGCATGAGTCAGGATAGTATAAAATATCAATTTTACTCTGAAAATTACATGTTTCAGACTGAAAAACCTGAGAGGCCATCACCATTCCCAATTCTGCAATGTCATGGTACTCAGGACCCCCTGGTAAACTTACAGTGGGGTGAGGCCACACGGGATCTCATCAAAAAGGTCAACCCGGAACTTGAATTCAAAACATACACTATGGGACACAGCTCCTGCTCTGAGGTAGGAAGGGAAGGGTACTATTCTTGTGTAGTCCCACTTGTATGGCCTCCCTTGTCATAGTTCGATGCTCATACTGTTGATCACTGGATTGTCTGGTCCAGACTCATTTCGAATAATGCTGAGTGTGGCGTAAAACTTCACTCACTCACTCACTCACTCACTCGTCTTGTAGATCCAGTGACTGCCAAGAAAGGGGAAACTCGATGGTTAGATACTCAGTCAGTATTATGTGACAGTATTAGACTGGACTAGTACTAGTGGTAACATGTATCTGTGTGTGCGCGCGCACGCACGCACGCGCACGCACGCGCACACACACACACACACACACACACACACACAAAATGTAAGCACAATTAAACCCATTAAGCACAATGAAGGTGACATTGAACCATATTTGAATTCACCAATCCCATTTACTTTGATATAACAATTTTGATCATAATTATGCTTCAGGCCAGATGTAATTGTCATGTTCTTATGTCATCAGAGTTTGAATTCATGAAAGCACATACCTCATATTGCTTGTTTTATTTTGGTATATAAAGTATGCTTGTGCTTGATTGCCTGGGAGATGACTTTCATGAAAGCTTAAACACATTCCACATATTATGTGAAAACATCACCTTTCAATTTCTGTAGCCTCCTACGCATGAACGTATGCCACGCACGCACGCACGCACGCACACAAGCACGCACACACACCTCTCCCTCCCACCCACACTAGACTTTCACTGTCCACTCCTCTCTTATCTCCCTCCTCAAACCTCTATTCAATTCAATCTACCACAAAATAGGATCACCCATTCTTGTATTACTGGGTAGAATTTTTGCATGAGATTAAAAGTCTATGGCAAAATCTTTGTTATGTTTATTTGTCATGAGAGCTACACAGTGGTCTGACAGAATGTCAACACGTTGTCTTTGTGAGCCCAGTGTACACTGAAGCAACAGCAAAGTGTGGTTACAAAACAACATAATAGACAAGTAATTATTCTTCCTCATCAAAGTTTTTGTTTTCAGATATACTTGGTCAGTTACTTTACACCTTCAGTATAGTGATGCTTATTTGGCACCCTGAACATATCTATAGTCCGTTTGGCTCAAAGGCGGACCGAGGAATTGCAATCTAACTCGAAAACTAATAAACATAAAATACTCAATGAAACACTGATCATAATCAAAACATCATACCCACTCTGTGAGGTTTTTGCTGAATTTTTGTCTTAAAAATAAAAAAGTTGTTTAACAATCTATCATTAAAATATTGACACAGTTCACTATTTGTTACGAGGGAGGAGTGCAGAGAAAGGGACAGCCGGGTGTTCGAGAAGCACGTGCACAAGTGCCCACAAAGTTATTGATTCATTAACCTGTGCTGTGCCGTCTCCATCCTTTCTCGAACACCTGGCTGTCCCTTTCTCTGCATTCCTCCCTCGTAACAAATAGTGAACTATGTCAATATTTTACATTTTTTATTTTTAGGACACAAATTCTGCAAAAACCTCATAGAGTGGGTATGATGTTTTGATTATGATCACCGTTTCATTGAGTATTTTTTGTTTATTAGTTTTCGATTCAGATTGCAATTCATCGGTCCGCTTTTGAGCCAAATGGACTGTAGTTTTCTGTATGATTATACAAGCAGTTGTTTATCTAGGATTTTTAAAAAGTGCCTTCAACAGGCAAATTGGGTTAAGAAAACTATTTTATTTGTGCTAAAGATGTTATTAGTTGACATTAGCTGCAGACTTTGTGCAAAATATTGATGTCTGGCTGTTATTGGCTGTCGACTGAAGTTACAGTCACATGCTGCAGAACGAACCATTAATCATTCTTGTTATCACAAGTATGTGAACACACAAAGGTTATGGATAACAATTGTTTACATCCCATGTTTGTTCTGTTGCAGGAAATGATAGATGTACAACAATTCTTGAAAACAACTTTACTGCAGCAAGGAGCAAGTAAATAGCAAGGGAGACAACTCTTGTGAAAACTACCACTAGATTCCATGTAAATAACCTACTCTCCTCAGTGTATCATTACAGAAAAGCCAGACATATGCTGAGAAAGGAACAGTATCTTCTCTGTTGTCAGTTGTCAGGTTTCATGGGTTGTGAATCAAAACTGACCATGAACTCAAGTGTTTGAAAACTGATGTGTTATTTAGGTACGATCAAATTTTAGTATTTTGTGTGTGTGTTTTCTAGTGACGAAAGGGTCAAATCGGTTATAACATCCATACCCATGTCACGTAGGATATTCACTAGCTGAGCATGTGAAAACATGCTGTAGCACTGTGTGGGAGGTTATAACACAGTCACTCTATGCTGATATGCAAGACTAGATAACAGATAACTTCAACCATTGTTTACATGTTTGTTCAGCTACGCAATATGTTATCAACACAGAGGACAGTATATATTCCTAGTAAGGTTTTCTTTCCTGTATGAGTATGCTTAAAAAATTACACTATTCATTCTTAAAAATGATCATGCCTTAAACAGTTTCCTTTGTATGACATAAGTGGTGGATGAATCATGTAAGGGCTCATAAGAACTCTGAATTTCTAAAAGCAAACTACTGACAATGGTAAATCAAAGAGTCAGTGACATGCTGTGGTGTTAAATGGGTTAACCAGTGTTATCTCTCCTGCAACCCTGGAGTGTCTGTGGTTCCTACTGCTGGAAATATTTCCTCATCCCACTGCTACTTGTTTTAATATTTGGATTCTAGTTAAGGTTTTTGTTTTGTACGTAGTGTTTGATTGTGCAGGTTGACGTCAACATCTGAGATCAGCATTTACACTGTAATTAGGAGATGTATGTACAGATTGTCTGTAAAGTTTGAATTATGTACATTGTTTGATTTCTCAGCCCATGCAGATTGTGTATAAGTTATATGGTTTATGCAAGTTTTAATGGTGTAATAGTTAAATGCAAAAAATCATTTTCATCTGTTTGATGTTAGAAGTATTGTGTGTCTCTTTGAGAATAGCTAGAATAGATATAAAAAGTATTATGTCACAATTGACACAGTTGCCGTGAACCATTGTAGAAGCCTTTCTAACATTGAAACTTGTTTTTACATCTTGTGTTAAATAAGATTTTCTTTATTTGATGAAATCTGTTTCTAAGGTTTCCAATGTTTATAAGTTTCCATATGCTGTTCATCAGATTGATGTGAAGGTATTTCATTATGGCAGCAATTCCAGCTGGATTATTAATCTTACTTTTCAAAATAAGCTTGATAAGAATGTTTTAAATAAACCAAAGTAGCCATGTTAGTTATTTTTTTCATCATACTTATACACAAATACATGCATATCCTACTGTTGTTCAGCTGTATTAATGCCATTTTCTACTGAAACTTTGACAAAGGCTTTGAATCCTTTCATCATGGTTGAAATTAACATAAGATTGGGCATAAGTTTGTACAGGCCCGATTGACTGGTGTATACACATTGTGTATAGACCCAATTCACTGGTGTGTGTATACACATTGTGTATAGACCCAATTCACTGGTGTGTGTATACACATTGTGTATAGACCCAATTCACTGGTGTGTGTATACACATTGTGTATGTCTTGCCCCCAGTGGGTATTTACTCTAGTGCTGCAGTACTAGTGCTTGGTCCAAGGGCGCCTGTGGCTTTAGTTGTCGTCGTCAGTCAAGCCAAGATAACTGCTATGTCACTAGACCCTCAAACTGATTAGCAAACATGTCCCTTGAAAATCTTAAAGTATATTTCTCTGTTGATTTTGTGATAATGCTAACTGTGTCATTTTACAATGTGGCCATAGGCTATCAAACTTGAATTCTTGTCATTTTAACTGTTAGATGTGGATGTCTTATATACACGTCTTTTCTAGCTCTCTGCACAATTTGTGCACCATCATTAGTGTCATAGTAATATTGAACTTTTCAAAAGACCTGACTGTGTTACACCCGTGTATTCAGAAAAGATCATTAAATAATTGCTATGCTCGTAGCAGATGTGCAATAAATGTGCTTATTTACAGATTGCTACAATGTTGTTAGCTCTAGTGTATATATGGATACATATGGGAGGGATGGAAGGTGTGAGGGAGGCAGTACACTGTCAGGCACTGGAGCGCCATGTGACAGAACATACCTGAACGGATCTTCATCCTCATTGTTCTTAGAAGAGCTTCTTGCATACTGGATGAGCTTCAACTGTTTTGTGCATATTGAACGTGACCGTCCTTAGTAGCGTTAATGACGCAGATGTATGAGACATGATATGTTCTCCATTAGAAAACGGGATTGGAGTCATGTCCTGACACCCCCACCGAAAAGGTGTAAATTCTACAAATTTTGACACATGCCATCGCATCTGAAATGTTCAAATAATTTCTTCAGTAGTATCTAAAATAGTTTTATGAAGAGTGCTAGCCTCTTTGTCTTGTGTGAGGTTTTTCTGTGTGATCTCCCGACGGGAACATTTGATAATGTTTATTGATGTGTAGAGACACAGACACCACAGCTCACTGCTGTGCGGAGCCTGTATATTCAAGTGGTATTGTTTATCATTCCATTTCCCGACGGATGGCACAAAAGCTGCATGACGTCGTCACCTTATTACCTACCCCCTTGTACCCAGACACTGTCAATGAAACTGGTTGAGAAACCTTTTACAAAAATCAGTCCCTTTTCTTCCTCCTGTATTGTTGATATTGTTAAGAAATAAAAGTTGAAATCAGCATCACTTTGTGATATGTCTTATTTGCCAACAGAGTTACATGCATGTGCTGTGTCTTGACCACAGGGTTTCAGAGTCTTGGGAGACTCTAAATATGCAGTATTGTGAGAGAACAGATGACCAGGCTTGAGGACTTTGCAGATGTGGGCTATATTATTTCTATACATTAATTAATGCTCATGATTTCAATCACTGGATTGAAGTGATCCTTATTTGAAATGATGATATTTACTCATTTTGACAGCTATGAGATAAGATTAACCTGTCTGAAGTTCGATTATATAAGACTGAGATCTGCCTTCTGTAATTTTTAGTTATATTTTAGACATTTTTAAATACATTGTCACTGCAAAAGAAGAAATAAGTCTTTATTGATGGAAACTGAGAATAGTTCTGCATATTTAAAATAAGATAGTCTGAGGCCTTTCAGGATCTCTCAGCAGCTATTAAAGTGTTATCTAGATTATATAATGATACCTCCCGGCCTCCAGAAATTATTGTTGATATGGAACTAGCCACACAGTGTATCAGGTTAATAAGAACCGAACAAAGTGTACCCCACTGCTTGACCCACAGCCTACATGTCTAAGATACAGCATTACTTGCAGACAATGAAGATGTAGGTTACAGGAAAAGTATTGCATGTAAATGGTACAGATTGTAAGTTCTATCACTACTCTTATACCTGTACGATTTTATGGTGAAAAAGATTTACTGTACACAAACACCCAAAGGGGACCAGTTACAAAGAATTAATTTACATTGGAAAAATTACGAACTATTGATATAAACCATGTAACTGAAATGTGTCTATATTAAGATCAAGAGAGCAGATACATGTTTCCTTTGCTTGAATATTTTGGAAATGTGAAGCTGACATAACAACAAAGGTAGTTCAGCCAGCAGAGGAAGCAGCAAAGAGTGATCATGAAGAGTGCCTTCATGTAACTATAACTACCATTCTTACTCAACACTTTGAGTAAACCAAGCTCACCGATCCCTGTGCAGATCAACTGGATGAATATCAACCTGTAGGTCTAATGGAGGATGACAAGCACTGGTGTCCAACATGATATGCAGTGTGAGTGAGTGAGTTTAGTTTCACTCGGCAACATTACAGCTATATGGTGGCGGTATGTAAATAATCGGATCTGGACCAGACAATCCAGGGATCAACAGCATGAACATCAATCTACGCAATTGTAAACTCAGTCCGCGAGCCTGACCACCCGATCCCCTTGGCTACCTCTTACGACAAGCATGGGTTTACTGAAGATCAGTTCTAACCCTGATCTTCACGGGTTGATATGCAGTGTGGGTGATAGGGGCACTTGTGCCATGTTAATATTATCTGTCTCATACTTCATTTACAAGTATGTACATTTACCACAACAAACGGCTAATTTTCTGTGACATACCTACACTCATGCTTTTCGTGGCCTATTCGAATTATTGTCCGCCCGGTGAGCGGAAGGTCGCTGGTTCGATCCCCGACCGCGTCATACCAAAAGACGTTAAAATATGGTACTTGTTGGTCCCTGCCTGGAACTCGGCATTAATGGGTACAACAAGGACTGGTCGGCTCGAGTCAGTATAATGTGTCTGAGTGGGGTATTCATGCTTCACTGCGGAATGGTGTCTCAGTGGGCTAGCACTATAAAACCAGCTTAAGTCTGGGCTAGTACAAGCAGCCGCACATACACATACACACGCATGCACGTCGTCATATGAGCGAAATATTCTCAAGCACGACGTTAAACCTAATTTCACCTCACCTCACCGGTTGAGTTACTGGATGACATGCAGCTTGAAAGTATTGCCCGTACCCATGTGTACCCTGATTATGTTTCAAGGTGTGCCAGCACCACACCCACGCTTCATGGCTTTAACCACACTGGTAACCATCGCAGACCTACATCACTTGGGGTTCTTCCCACATCAAAATTACAGTCATGATATAAGGGGAATACTGTTCAAAGCAATATTAAACCCAACTCGCTCGCTCACATACTCACTCACTCAGAAACCTGTGTTTCAGTTTCGAAATTGACAAGGACTTGATAATGGATATTTTAGAAAGGGAAGTGTTTCCTTTTCATAAATGTGTCAGAATTAGTTGGAGTGAGTGAGTGAGTTAAGTTTTACGCCGCACTCAGCAATATTCCAGCTATATGGCGGCGGTCTGTAAATAATCGAGTCTGGACCAGACAATCCAGTGATCAACAGCATGAGCATCGATCTGCGCAATTGGGAGCCGATGACATGTGTCAACCAAGTCAGCGAGCCTGACCACCCGATCCCGTTAGTCGCCTCTTACGACAAGATAGTCGCCTTTTTATGGCAAGCACATGGGTTGCTGAAGACCTATTCTACCCCGGATCTTCACGGGTCCAGAATTAGTTGGAAATGTTGGTGTTACTTGAAATGAGTCATTGTTTTAAATCTTTACTTAAAAGTATTGAAGAATTTCGAAAGTCGAGGGGTATTCATTGCAACTTGAGATGAAGGAAATATCTGGAAGAACCGCTTTCACAGAACCAATCCAAACTGCCCGCTGTTTGTTTTTGTTTACCTCATTAAGGCCTGATAAATGTGGCAAACGTTCTATATTCGTCGTTAATACTGGAAAGTGTATCAATGATACCGTCCCTGTAAAATACCGTATGCAATTTGAATGTAAATATCAGAATAACCATTAGTGGTTCTATCACTGGTACGGAGTATTAATGCCACGTGACATTGTATGAACAAGCAGACTCCCTAAGTCCACTAGGCAGCATGTAGACCTGCTGGTGGTGCGTATGCTTATCCTAGCAGACTCTGTCATCATGGCGGCCGAGACTGATGTACTGCTTGAAATACATATTCCCATATTACCTCTGAAATGCCTGGAAGCATTTGATTTTATGGTATCTGTTAGAGTGGGACCGCTAGACCAATGTATTTGACTTCTATATCTAGAGCCTGTCCCACAGTCCCTGAACCACGTTATATTCCCTTCCACCCAGCCCTCCCTGCAATGCTTAAGCCCTAAATGAAGCAAGTCTAGATTCAATCACTCACTAGGGCTCCTTTTCAATTTAAATGAGTTCATTTGTAACTACATGTATCAATATTATATATATTCAGGGACTAAGCTGTCTAACTTGTATCCAGTGTGCGAAAGTTTCCAACATTTGCTAGCCAGTCGGGCTAGCTATGTCTGAAAGCGACTAGCCCACAGAATAATTCACTAGCCCGAAATGCGAATGCTGAAACTAAGCAAAAGATTACAAAAAGATCAATCGGCATATTGTCGGCATGACACAGGTTTCACCATTAAGCTGCAAATATGATGAACATTTTTATCAGGCCATAATCTTGCATGATTTAAAAGTGTATTATATCTTGACAAGTCGGAGAGAGTGATATATTTACAAAATGACCCCATGCAAATTCCCTAGCCAGTCGGGCCAGTGACTGCGGAGATCTGATGGTCCGACTGGATTTTCACTAGCCAAGAGCTATAGCGGGCCAGTGGCTATTTTGCACACTGCATCATGCATTTGGAAATACCCTGACTAAAAGGGCAGCCCAACAAACGAGGTCTTTCTGAAAGCCAACAAAAGAATGGGAGTCAGGAGATGTTGACAGAAGATGCCCATCCCACAACTGGTCAAGATCTGCAGGAGAGTATGATCTCTTGGTTGCCCGTCCTTCGTGCATATTCAAAGGGCTGCCCTAATGTGTTGTTATCGTACTTTCAATATGTGTCCTCTCATAATGGTCAAGCCTGGCGTCAATAGCGTTGGTAATGTTCATGATATGATCATGGATGATCGACGACTCCATACACATCACACAGCCGACATAAGCACCTGTCATGGCGAGCCAGTTGGCAACATTCTGACAAATCAACTGGGCATGACGAAGATGTCAGCGCGCTGGGTTCCAAGGCTTCTGACTTCCCATCTTGAAGAACAACTGACTGTCAAGCATTTTACAAGCAATATCGATGTCATTTCTGCGTTGAGGAATATTTTACGCAACTAGTAGGGCGCCTGCGACACTAGTGTGATCCTGAAACTCCTGCAGCGTTGGCGAAAGTGTGGGGATTTTAGTGGGGATTTTGTTGGAAGACATCCAGTAATCAAATCACCAATCACTAAGCACAGTTAGGATCAGAATGATTCAGCCACCTGTCGTGATGTACTGTTCATGGAGATTCATCTGAAGCTATCTTGTTTATTAAAATTCCAGTCATTATGCAGAGGTACAGTAACAAGTGTTTGCTGCTGGGCAATCTGTATAGCGAATATATTATCTAATGGTTTGAAGAAGAAGTGGTATCTAAACTGGTTAACTTTCATTTTCGAGAGACAACCCTAATCATTACTTTAGTCAGCACTTATTGGTAAACATACAAAATACCTTTATCATCCAAAACTGTGTTCCACTGAAGATATTGCTTGTGTGTTTGACAGTAGATTGTGTACAATGTCCCGACGTCATCAATTACATGAGATCACAATGCCTTGACATCATCAATTACATGACTCACAATGCTATGACGTCAAAAACCTGATGACATCACAATGATATGGCATTGCTGCACTGCAAGTCTAATGGCAGTATCGTGTTCGGAGATGTCCATTTTTCATTGAAACCTAATGAAGAGTGATTTTTTTATGATAAATACGAAACTCATCCTCGTGTCTTCTGATATCGAATATATGAACACTCGTTGGTAAAAGTCAAAATAACCTCGGTAACTTTATCAACTTGTGTTGATATAATTGGTATCAGTAGACACTTGGGTGACATTCTCTATTTATCGACATCTGTATGGAGTGATAGCTACGATGTCACCTTCATATTTTCCATCCCTATGGACAAGACTCGGGCAAGCCATCAAAGGTGTTTGCTGTATTGACAAGTACGTGTGTTGTTCGTGGTGACATGGTTTGTCCATGATTTCATGTGAATAATATTGGTTTGTATTTCTCTCCAATAGTTTGAAGAGTTATCCAGAGATTTACATGACGTATATGCTTCATATTTCATTTCCACAAGAGGGTTCCAGTGGAAACTGGTTGTATTTTGATCTTTGACATTAAGCACAGTTACTGGAGTCGTGAGGGCTACTTCTGAGGAGATCAAACATAGTTTTGATCCACTATGACACTGGTACATCGATATGGGCGGGGGTCGTGGCCTGTGACTGGATGCCCTTGATTTGGGACTTTCTTCATTTTCTCTACACGTTCATCACCAACAAATCACTACAAATCAAATAAGTAACTTCTGTTACAACCATGGCACACTGTCACATAACGTTTTAGATTCAAAACATATCAACTTTGTTTAGGTGCAGAGCAGCGCTGTCATTACAAACAATTAGTTATCTATTTAAATAAGCTGTACGTTTCTTTGATGGACATTTTAGAAGTTGAGTTGATGAAGAATGATCACAATTTGTTATGGATGTAGGCTACAACTTCTTTTATAAAGGCGGCGTTTCGACATAGATTCTAATGCCGCCATCACTTGCTTGACAACGACATTTGAATCTATGTCGAAACGTCGCCTTTAACAGAATAAAAGAAGTTGTATATCCATGAAAAAATGTCATCATTGTTCCAGCTGTACATTGCACACCAAACACGATTAACTTCGTCTTGATAACATGCAGACAACCTTGCCATGGAAATTTCATGATTGTCGTCCCATGGGTGAGAAAAAGGAGCAGTAATTGTATTGTATACAGTTTGCCGGAAAAAGTATGAGTCTGTTTGAGTATTTTGAGTACATTAAGTGATCTTCACTGTTGCAAAACTAACGGAATTGCTGTATACTGGAATACAAGGTCGTAGTTCTACATATACACATTTACACACATATACGAATTTGCAAGGTGAAAGGTTTTCGTAAGCATAATCCGATCAAATATGGGAATCCAGGGGTATTCATGTTTTCAATAAGGCTCACGCTTGTTGGTACAAAACCAAGTACATGTATGTTTGATGGCTGGCGCTAAATGGCATCCGGTGATTACGAGAGCTAATTAAAATGGCGCCGGTTGGACGACTAAAGTCGGAATTTTGTTTTTCTTTAAAAAGTGTCATTCAATTGCATATAATAATTAGCAAAGTCGGAATTAAATTATAGTTTAAGCTGTATACAGGTTATATGTTGACCGTGTCCTGTGTCTATTTGAAATCAAACCCAGCTTTTTGTCGGTGGTTGAAACTGTAGACATGTTGAGCAGATGCATACGTACACTCTACCGCTTTATCTAAAACACTTGGAGTGACAGAAGAGGTTACCCCTTGCAAAGCTCTTAGATGCGGGAGATAAGAGAAAAACCGGGCAAAGGAAGAAACTCCTTGCAGAAAATCCTCTGCTGTAAATGTTGACTTGTACATAGTTTGTAGATGTTAGGTTGTCTCCAGCCAGTGCGGTAGTTGCATTAGCTTCCATTCTTCCCATCAGTGTCCGTTTAACTATCTTCTTTTCCCGAGGAGACACCAATCAACCTTGCTGAAGCGAGGCGTGCAGAAAAATGCGTGCTCAGTTCTTTCACAACATTGATTTGTGATAGACGGTTACTGGATGTGTTCCAAGAATCGCTATCACATTCATTTGGTCTTTAACAAAAGAAGCTGCTTTTAAGAGAAAACTGTAGTTCGTTTGTTAATCGCATTTGGCCCTCGTAAACTGAGTGTTCCGAGAAGAAGCGTCTAATGAGCATGGCAACAGAAACACTTTACCCGCCCGGTGTGTTGGAACCCGGAGAGATACCCCCAGAACTACTTAATGGTTTGATGGGAAACGGCAATGGTACAGAACATGTGGATGAGGAACCAGTGGTTGATATCACAATTAATAATGTTGTGTGCAGCTTCAACACAAGATGCCACTTGAATCTGAAAAGAATAGCTTTAGAAGGGTGCCATGTTGAATACAAACAAGAACAAGGCGTAAGTTGTTTTGACGGGGGTTGATGGACATTTCAGGACATAAGGTTATTGAAAACAAAATGCTCTCAGGATATGTTGGTTTAAAACTGTTTTTAATGGGGAAGTTATTATTTTTCTTTCATGGTAAATCATGTAGAAAATAATATTCGTTATAACAGATAAAAAATGTGGCACATCAAAAGTAATTAAACTTTATGAGCATAATGAAAGTAATGAAGAATATTTATCATTTTAGTCACTAAAGATCTTCTCAATATGTTTCTGTGTTTTCATCTGTTCATCATTTACTTTAATATGTGTGGCCCAGTTGAGACATAAGTGAGTATAAATATGATATATCCATTTCTTGCTATGTTAGAATCATTTACAGTCATAACTCCCTCCCAACTGTACAGGACATGTTTGCTTATGGAAATGTACTGACATTTCAGATGCTGAACATGAAGTTGAGACGTCCATATACCACAGCCAGTATTTGGTCCTCAGGGAAGATCACTTGCACAGGGGCAACCAGGTGCAGTGTTTCTACAAACCTCTTGGGAATACTTTTCATGCATTTAACAAATGTTTTTGAGAAGGGTTAAGAATGGTTCACTTAACATGGTATTCTGATGTCTTGACCGAATGAAAAATATATTCAATGTTAGAATACAATTGTTATTTTCTGTTGCTGCTATTTGATTTCAGTGAAGATGACTCACATCGAGCAGGGAGAAGGATTGCTCGGCGTCTTCAGAGGCTTGGCTTTAACGTACGCTTCACCAACTTTAGAGTAGTCAATGTTCTAGGAACTTGCAGCCTACCATTTGGAATCAAAATAACCAACTTTTCTAAAGCTCACAGAGAAGAAGCAAGGTAAGTTTGAAGGAACTGATTCAGCCTTTGCTCTGCATTATGGCTCTTGACAACCTTGACATGCTTAGTAGTCATACACTTTGTGCATTTTGATCTCTTCTGAGAAATAGCTGTTATAAACATTATTGACACTTGATATGATCTTAGTGTTATAATTTAAGGGAGTCTATGATCTTAGTGTTATAATTTTAGGGAGTCTTGGGTCCTTTGAGTTAGTTTGAATGAGACTACAATCGTGAGAAACTTAAAAAAGTATTTTTCTTTTTAAGATTCATTTTGAAACCTGTATATACAGGCATGTGGGAACACGTAGACATGAAAATCTGGATATGAGAGTAATTTGCCAATTTGTATTTTCTTGGAAAGTAGGTTTGTAGTTTAATCAGTATTTGAGTGTAAATGGTGTGAAGTATAGTCATATACTGTTGAACTTTGATGGGTTGAACTTACTGTTGTGTTGAAATTAAAGTTTGGTCCCTGCATATGCCTTATTTACTCCATTTTGCGGTTGTGTCAAAATCTTTGATAACTTTTAAGTATTTTAGTAGGTCCATTGACACAAGGTGTCAATGACATTTTAGGAATGTGTTAAATAACTCAGTGTTTACAAATGTGAAGCTGTGTTTCATTGTATGTTTAGCTATGAGCCAGAGTTGCATCCAGGAGTGACCTACAGGATTAAGGATCCTAAGGCCACGCTCAAAATCTTCTCCACAGGCAGTATTACAGTAACAGGTGCGTATTTTGTAAAACCATAGTCATGCGTGACAAGTCATGGAAGCATCCTATTCTCACAAACACTGAACTAATGAAGCTGAAACTTCACATTATTTATTATACTAACATTTGTATAGCACCAGTATCCAGCTCAGCAAAGGCACTTTTGATTTTCCCACGATCATTGAATGTCAATCTCAAACGGCACATTGTATTATCAATCTCAACTCCCTGGGGATCATACAAATCTTGCAGCCAGTAGGCTCACCGAGTTAATGTGGCTTTCCCATCCTTGCGAGGTACCTATTCTGGGTGGACTGGGACACACATAGTCACAGCACTTTTTTTCAAGTTTTACTGCATGTTGCTGTACCTGCAACTAGGTGGTTGCGGGTATTCATATCGCCACCATCTGATCATTTACCAATGGATTTGTGGGTTCTTATAAGTTCACAGGGTTATGTACTGTACATAAGGGGTTGTGACAACACTGAAAGAGTCTGCACACAAAGTTGACTCAAAGATTTTTACATCCGGCCACAGGTGGGCTTGATCCCTCCACCTCCAAGCTCGAAGGATCACTAGCCTGGCATCTTAGACAGCTCGCCCACCATACCTGTTTCCACCAAAGATAATACTCCCAAATTCTTTCAAATCATATTTTCAGAATGGATGATACTGCAGTCAGCTGTGCTTGGTTGGATCCCAGATCATGGGATTTTAATTGACCACAATTATGATTTCTTTGAGAGGCATTTTAGAAGTGGTATAGATGAAGGATAACCAAGTTCTATGAATAGTCAACTTCTTTATTGCAATGAGTGCGATGTTTCGGTGTAGGTACTAACACTGTTATCAAGCAAGTGATACAAAAAGTTGTAACATGGAGAATATATACATAGCTGCATAGTGAGTATATACAATTGACATGTTTGATATACATTGGATACTAATTAGTGATTTGAGCAGAGTAGGTTGATGTACAGAGTGATAGTGATTAAAACAATATGCAGAATGAGTTTATACAGCAGATGAGTTAATGTACACTGAAATGGTAATCGTGAGTTGAAGAGAGTAGGTTGATGTACACATTGATTGGTTGTGAAACAACTTGTGATTATAAGACACAAAAGGGACGAGGTATGGGTGGATTACTGATCTTTAATTAGGTGGTGATAGGCTGAGGAGATAAAATTACCTTGATCCCGGTTCATGGTGGGGTTGAAGCGTTGGATTTTTATGGCTTCAAGAAGTTTCCTAATCTTGTAGTCTCATCGGTTGGTTTCCAGGATGTGGATGTTGTCCCAAAGGATGGCATGGTCAGGGTTGGCTTTGGTGTGGTCAGCTATGGTGGATTTGAAGTCTTTTATCTGGACTGAAGTTTTGTGTTCTTTAATTTGTAGTAGGAGAGGGCAGGACGTTTCACCTCTAGAAGACTAAGAGTTTCCACATTGGCATTTGATCTGGTAGACTACTCCTGTGGGGTCTCCTTTAGTTGTTGATGGGGGTTTGCCTGTGGCTTGGAGGAGGTTTTGGATGGACTTGCCTTTCTGGAACAGAACGTCTATGCCTGCTTGCTGCTGAAGTAGTCGTCTTATCTGGTGGATGACTGCTGGGACATACGGGAAACTTATTACAAAGGGTGCTGATTGCCGACAGGTTGATTTATCTCTTGGGTTGAGGGTGGATCTGATGACGTTAACTAACTTCTGGGGGTACTGGTTATAATGGATGAAGACATGGCGAGGTGGTTTAGTTTTGGATTCTGTGGCTTCTGTTGTCGAGCAGATGTTCTTAGCTCTTTGGGTAAGGGTGGAAATGATGCCTTTCCTAACTGCAGAGGGTGATTGGAGGTGAAGTGGAGATACTGGTCGGTATGAGTGGGTTTCCTGTAGACAGTGGTGGTTAACAAGGTCATCAGATCATCGCAGTCATCACAATTATGATGACTGGTTGGTCTTGAACCATACTTATGTTCATGGATCTCAAAAGTGTTGTAGTTATATTTGACCTGAGGCACTATGAGTTTGCATCAAAACTTAAAATGTCATGCGATGAAATAACACTAAACATGGAAGTATTGTTAAAATTGGAATGGAATGAATTCACTGTCAAAATGAATGTCACTGTAGTAATATCTCCTTACTGCTGTAGTCATTGTCAAAACAAATTTTCCTTTTGAGTGTTTCTTTTCATTTGTATTACAGCTCCATCAGTAGCAAACGTCCAATCGGCCATTGAGCACATCTACCCCCTAGTGGTCGAGCACAAGGCGGAGGAAACTGAGATTGACCGTGATACCCTGCTCCGTGAAAAGCGGTTCCTGGAAGGCAGCCATGCCATCGTGAGTACACGCAGCAAGGGTCAGAGGTGCTTCACGACAGTTGAGTCAGATGATGATGAAGCCCTCGACACCAGTGATGACAGTTTTGACAGTGAAGAGAGTCAGGATTAACCCATGCCTTGTTCCTGTATTCCATGCTGTGTTTTGGGAGTGAATGATTTACAGCTGCTTCACAGGAGCAAGGAACACTGCTGCAGTTGACTGATGTTGCGTACTGTGTGGGCAGCTGTTTAGAGTGGGTGCTATTGACACAGTATGCTAATCCCAAGCTCGTCACAAAGACAGACTGTTCCGTGTTATATCAGACAAGGAGGCAAATGATTGTGCAGGCAATGAACAATAACATGTGGATGTTACTTTAGACTTGTTACCACGGTTACTGTACAACGACATATCTTTACCATGTCTGAGCGGCGTATTAAGAACTCTAATTGTTGTCTAGTAAAGTGCTTGTGGTGGGATACTTTGTACTGATGTTTCATCGTGTTTCATACCTGTGGGTGATCTGGACTGACATGAAATCGGTCCAGGTTAACTCATACTATTTTCATCATTTGAACAAGTAATTACCGGTTGCTGATCTTATTTCAGTTGTACTGGATATTTCATTATGTGCACGTTTGTTGTTATAATCATGTGGTCATATTCATACCTACAGCAGATGGTTATGTGGGGTACATGTGTTGTGGCAGTTGGAATGTTTGTGGCGTGTTTCCATGACGACACGAAACAAGGATGTGAGTGTGTACACGGTGTAAGTTGTGTGTCAGGGTGTTGTCTTCACATTTCCGTGTCAGTGTGTAACTAGTGACTAACATTGGTGGGATTACAAGACTCAACTTACCTATAGTTTCCTCTCATTAGGGTTCAAATGTTCGTGCCCCATGGCGTTTGCTCAGTGATATAAGTATTTATGGCTGAACCTTGCTAGGGTGTCTTACATAATTAGATTTCTGGGGCCTGGGTTTGAAGACAGTTTCTGTTCTATTTTCTGGCTCCCAGAATATTTTTGTTTTGTAAATTCTGCAACCCAATTTTGGTAATTCTGTACACTTTTCTTCAAATGTTTAAGCTTAGTGTTTGAGAATTTTGTAGGTATGCACCATTTTGACTTGTTGCAAACATTTTTCAGATAACAGCAAGAATAGCTTATGGTCGTGAATCTGGCAATTACTAGAATGTAATGATTTTGGCAAGCAATAATATGAAAGTCAACTGAACTTTAAAATGAAATCAGTTCATTTAACCATTGATTAGAACATAAAAATGTTGAAATATCCTTTGTAAATTATATTTCCTTTTTGCAGTTAGCAAGTCTGCCTAAATCCTCAACCTTTTGACATAACACTACTTATTGTCAGTTTCTCACTAATTAACATTTCCAGATACTGGATAGTTGATAAATTCCTGGAGAATTATTGTTTGTAAAATATTGTAAGCTGGTGGCAGAGTTGAAGGATGGGCCTATGATGAGTAGAACAAGATGTGCCTCCATACCCAGGGCCTGTGTGAGCATCAGAATGGTGGTGGCATGTCTGTTGAGTCAGTACACAAGCACAGACAGGGGGGAAGCCTCATGTCCATGTATTTTCAGAGGTTTCCCAAACTTGATCCAGTGTATATGTTTGTGAGAAGTATCTGCTGTGTGGGTGTACCATAGTTTGCACGTGTTTGTACTGCTTGCACACACTAATTTGATGTATTCTTGAACATAATTTTCACTGTTTATCCTACCTTTGAAAATTGTTGCATTTATCATCTTTGATTAAAGTTCGTTTAAGTTTTGTATTTTGTAGTTGGTTAAAATTTTCTCATTAATATATGTATAAAAATAAATTGAAGCATGTCTCATGCATATTATGCATGTAATTATCAACATTTCAGGGTTGATGTAACCAGGTACTCACTCCATTGGTTCATGCTTGTGTCAATTTTTTGTTAAATGAATGGCACGGACGAAAGTGAATCTCATGTTTTGCATCCTGATGAGGCAATAATTCTTTCATTGTTACAACAGCATTTATTGAGTTTTTGTAGCAGTCCACTTGTAGATTTCACATCATAGCGCTCTGCTAGACGGTCATTGAAGAAAGGAGTGTGCTGTACCATCTAAATATTGTGTTAATCTTTCTGTTCATGTGTTTTTTGTTTCCGCATTTCAACATTGTTATGTGGTGGCCAGGGATACAGGACAATCATGATGATGAACTGCCAGGGCCCGTGGAGAACACTTGTACAGTGAGGGCACCGTGTTGATGCACCTTGCATCCGTGTTCAGGATGGTTGGGAGTCTGGCGTTTGTCACAAAGCAAGTCCTAAAGGGCACACCTCCCATAATGTAGGTTAAAATGGATTTGGAGGCTTTGTGTTGTGTACCACCATCATTGTACTACTACAGAACAAGTGCTATCTTGTACAGTTTGAATGTTATGAATACAATGCCACGGTTTTTCACAAATTTGTTATCAAAATATTGTGACAAATAAATTGTTTCAAAGGACATAATTGTTTTCACGTGTTTAAAGGCTCCTTGTGAGTTAGTGGTGCAGTGAAAGGACAAATAATGTGATTTATTCTGTTTAAGTATGCTCCAACACTCTCATTTTGTGTGAAACAAAAATTGGACAATCAATCCAGGGCCATCATTGTAATGGGCCAACACATGGGGCACGAACCAACACAACAGCATCACAGCAGCCAAAAACTGGTACTGCTTGGTGTGAGGCATTGAAGTGTTGAGAATTTCTGTGGCCTAAATTGAAGGTGAGGGAAATTTCATTACTCAATCTGCTGAACTAACATGATGTTTGTATGAGATTTTTCGTCTGAGTATATTCCCATGTTTTCAACTAGGAATAGTCAGACATGATTTGATTAAATTGATTGGCACAAACATTTGACAACACTAAGGATCAAAGATGAATTTCATTCTTTTTAGTGAATTTAGTCGCTAGATTGAAGCCTCAGTCTAGTAAAATTAAAATGTCCAGAGAGTTTAATAACACACAATATATTTTATGTGGTAGTGTATATTGTTTAGTATTTAGGGATTGTCGGTGACAGCAATTCATCAAAGAGCTTGAGTAAAGTCAGCTACTGTTCTTGCTCAGTAAGGATCTGTTGGGTAGCCCAGTGGTTAAAGCATTTACTTGTCACACTGAAGGCTGAAGTTTGATTCCCCACTTGGGTAAAATGTGTGAAGCCGATTTCTGGTGTTCCCCGTGGCGTAAAACACAACTCACTCACTCTTGCCCAGTTACAGCCAGAAAGTGTGATAAGACTTACCTTACTTGATTTCCATACATGGCAACTGTTTGGCAAGTTTCAGGATGGGACAGTTTCATGAGTAACAAGATGGTAATGTATACACCTGTATGACCAGACTTGTGTTTCTACTCGTCATATGTGTATTTATTTTGCCTATTTGGCATCACCAAATTTATGACAGCTTCCAACTCTGTTCCAAAAACATTAAACAGCAACAAAACAGGACATTTGGGAGTGCAGTGAAGAATATATGGGGCCTATTGCATACTCACACTTATTTGACCCAATTTTGTTTGTATAACTAAAACTGGGGGTTTCAATATCATTTGTTAACTTTTCATTCATCTCGCATGGTCATTTCCTGATGTCATTTTGGTTCTTTAGAAACTGATTTCTGGGTTAACCATTGCATTTCAGTTTGGAAACAACTGGCAGGTACTATTGAAGTACTGAAGGAGCTTCACTGGTTGCCCATCAAAGCCAGGATCGAGCATGAGATACTGTGTCTGACCTACAAAGCCAAGCATGGTCTTGCTCCCCAGTACTTGTCTAACATGTCATCATACTCCAGTTCACGCAATCTTCTTTCCAACAGCCAGGATCTGCTCACTGTGCCCAGCTTCAGACTGGAAACGTTTGGACAGCGTTCTTTCACCTGTGCAGCCCCTACTCTCTGGAACTCCCTTCCTTATGACCTCAAAACTATTGACAATTAAAACCTTCAGATAACTTAAAACCTACTTCTTCCAGCAGTATCTCCCTTAATGTGCTCTAGTATTACTTCTGTACATATGTACATACTTGACAGTAGTGCCTTGAGCATGTCTGTCGAGGTGGATTGGGTGCACATATAAATATGCATTATTATTATTATTATTATTATTGAAACAAGATGACATTTTGGGGCTAGTGTGGTTGTGAGCTCTAGTATTCAGCACAGACTCAAAGACTGGTTAGGTAAGAAAAGGAAGAGCTGATACGGAATATTTTGACTGCCTTAGCTTCAGATGTGTTTGGCAGTCATAGGTGTCAAAGACATCTAGGGCAACACAAATTTATTCCCTTGAGCTTGCCAGAAATATTGTGGGTTTGAACCCTGGTTCACCCATATTGTTTCTAGGTTCGTCAGCACCTGTTGGTTAACAAAACTGGTTAATGTGAGACATGCATCACCTTGAAGCTTAGTTCCACATAGTTGCAGGTTAAGGTTTTCAGTTAGTTTTGACCATGTGGGCATTGCTTCTGACTTGTACATGTTTGAGTGAAGATAAAGCTTCAGTGTATGCATGTGAAACATGTTTCTTATGTTCATGTAAATAGTTATTGCAAGGGTTCTGGTCAAACAGACATTTTCTACTTAATTTTTTAGACCTACAGAGGGAATCAGGGTAAGGTTGGGTTACAGTTGGTTGGGTACCCAGGTAGTACATATGACTCGTCCCACCTCTCTTTTCTTCTGCTTCTGGCAAAGTTTTTACTATAATCAAGAGTGTCTTACACAATGGTCACAGCAGTCCCTTCTTGGTCACGGGTCAGTGTAATGCTTCCTTTCTTCTTGCAGACTGAATATAGTCCACACAGTGCATAGACACGTTACAGACTCCTGGTCATCACAAACATCCACCAACACTGTCAAATAACATCTTAAATATAGACACACCAGTAGTGTGATAGGGATGAAGTGTCTGAATCTGTGAATCGAAAACAAAAATTCAGAACAAGAACGATTTTGAGATTTAATTCAGACTGTAAAATTTAGTACAAAGCTTTGATATTCCATATCAATACACATTCTGCAAAACAGGCAACATGTTGACAGAACATGTGTCTCATATTTCAGCATGGGTAAAACAGTCAGTACATTTGTTAAAAGGTTTTCCTCCCTCCTTTAAATGAGCAATGGTGATCTGCATGAGACTCAGTGTCCAAACTTGATGGGTACTTGATGAATCATATATGAAAAACATACTGTCCTAATCTTCTGCACGTTTAGCTGGTGGACCACATGGCTGTAACATACGCTCCATTATGTTGAAACGCACACGAGCTCGAGCTTCATTTTCAGCTAACGTAAAGTAATTAAGTGTGTCATGATGACCTAGATAGGAAGCGTAACTGTCTCGGTGCTGGTTGGTCATCCATTCCCACTTGTTGGTGTCGGCGTGCCCGGTTCCGATGTACTTGGACTGCAAGTGTTCCAGCTGGCTGTGGATGTTGTAGCGGTCACCCATGTCTCACAGCTGTAGACCCCTGTCAACACATGGTAGACAAGTTGCACTCTCTTCATTAAACACCACATAGCACACGCCACAGCTATCTGTATTGTAATTTTGTTTGTTGTTTAATGCTGCACTCAGCAATATTCCAGCTATATGGCAGTTGGCTCTAGATAATCGAGTCAGACTTCAACTAAATAAAAATATGAATTAAGTACACGATTTAACAAATGCAATATCACCAGTAGTAAGTTACATAGAATTGAAATACACAATGCCATTTTAAAAAGTGATGAAATGTAACATAAAGTGTAATCCCAAATATAACATATGTTACATTACATAGAATTGATTCACACTGTCACTGGATGTGGTGTGCGATGTTTCCAGATCATGTCAGTAAATGCATTTTCTCCTGGGTATTTGTAACTGGACAACTGATCCTGTTTTGTCTCCCGGTGGCAGGACAATAAACACCATGTTCATTGACATACCACAATGAGTACCTGCCCAACGAAATCAAATGTAAGAAGTGACCAATTTAAGCCAGTTCTCTGAAACAACATTTAGCAGACTTCATTCCATTGTTAAAATAACATCGTCACTGAGGAGCCTGTAACAACTATCAGCAGTGGGAGGAATTGCTTAGAAAACATCATTTTTTCACCTGTCAACTCAAAAATTACACCGAGGGTGTTTTATCCTATGGGTTGAAAATTGCAAGGGCTATTTGTCCTGGGGGCATTTAGCCTAGGGGTTATTTTATCCGAGGGCTTTTTATCCAAGTGGGCTTATTGTCTGTCTGCGCACCTTGTCTCCCAACCCCTCTAGAAACCTGTTAGAGTAGTCTTAGTAAGAGTATTTATCTGGTTCACATGAAACAAATATTAGTAAAATATTAAAAGATTCCCTTCATTTCTGAACTTGTGTATCTTCGTTGCAAGTAAGAAAAACAGGGTAAGACTTCCGCCCGTATCCCCAATTTTAACGACGAGGAACAATTTCTTTGAGTGGCATGGATATGTCTTTCAATATATTCAGATACAATTAAAGAAACATGTTAAAACTCATCCTTATCAGATGAGGGAATACATATTCAGGTGATATGATTTGACTAGAATGACATTTAAGGGGGGGGATACGGGCAATTGCCCACCTCACATTTGTTGTTGTTCACATGAACAGCTTACAAATTAAACGAAAACGTAAACTCATCGTCGTAGGTCATACCTTTGTCTTGATTAATAAGACACTTCAACCGTTCTCGTTCACACAACGGATATTTCTTTCTTGACCCGACACCTGCTGATCCAACAACTCGTTATAATAAACTTATATATGGGACGAGTTTAGCAAAATAAAACATGCACTGTCAGATGCTTCTCGCGACTGATTGTGCTTCCTGCCCTCAAACCGGCGTTTCAATATCCGGTTTACCCTGGTTCGTGATCAAACGATTGGTTGAGTGAAGCGCTAGCGCAGCATACCCCTAGAACCTGGCTGGTTAATAACTGATCTACAAGCTTCACGACAATGCGTGGTATTTTGGCTAACATGGAAGAGTACCTACGTATTGCTGTTGGGAGCTTAAACTGGTTAAACATATCGTTCACGCAGCAGATAGAGTGTTCAGTTCAGTAACAACATAGAGGGTGCTCAACCAAAGCAGTGCCACACTTGCGCGCATAGAGAAAACAGACATTATTCTAATAAGTGTGAAAGTTTATCCCGCATTAATGCCCACAGAACATATTAATTCAGTCGAATAATAAAGACCAACTGAATGCAACAGCTCAGTTGGCATCCACAACTTGATATTAAAACCGCAGACCATGCATTGAGTGATTCGAGTGATCTTTTACGCAACCTTTGACAATATTCCAGCAATATCACGTCGGGGGACACCAGAAATGAGCTTTACACATATTCCATGTGGGGAATCGAACCCGGGTCTTCAGCATGACGACCGAGCGCTTTACCCACAAAGCTACGCCCAACAGACCATATATGTAACTATACCGTACGATCCATAAAGATGAATAGTGGGAACAAATATGAACGAAACTAGAAATAAAACATTAGACTCCCATATCCCTTAACCGATGAACTAGATTGTGCTGCACGCTTGTTCGCAGATAATACATCAATGGGATTTTCATCTATCAATCACAGGCTTATGCAAGAGACACTAAATAAGAACCTACAATATTTATCGTGCTGGGCAAAACGCTGGCTTGTGATATACAATCCCAACAAAACAGAAGCTATACTTTCAGTCTTAAGAATAATAATACAATTCTAAATTTAGAATTTGAAACTCAGTGTGTACGTTTGGAAAAATCTCATAAACATCTTGGAGTAACATTTTCTTCTGATTGTAAATGGAACACACATATTGATAACATTGTAAAATCAACGTCCTTGATGGTTTCATCAATGATAAAATTAAAGTTTATGTTAAACAGAGACACTCTTAATAAGATTTATATTGTATTCATAAGACCACATCTTGAATATGCTTGTGAATTGTGGGGTTGTTCGGTAGATTTAACAGATAAAATTGAAAAAGTTCAGTTTGAGGCCGCCAGGATAGTTACTGGTTTACCAAAATATGCTACTAGAGATACTCTGATATATGAAACAGGTTGGCAAATGTTAAAAAGAAAGAAGAAGATGTCGTAAACTGTCTTTATTCTATAATATCTACAATAAAAATGCTCCATCCTACCTTTGTGATCTATTGCCTCAAACTGTTGAATCTAGGACAAATTATAATCTTAGAAACATTCGTGATCTATCCCTGTACTATTCCCTCACAAATCTCTACAGTCAATCATTTTTCCCATCATCTGCACAACTTTGGAATAATCTCCCTTTATATGTTAGAGAATCAGTTTCCCTTAAAGGTTTTAAATCGCATATAAGCTCGCGTACGTCAAAAGCACCAGGATATTTCTCATTTGATAATAGAAAACTCAATGTAATTCATACCAAGCTAAGATATTCAAATAGTAGATTAAATGGTGATCTATATAGGATCGGTCTCATGGAGAACCCCGAATGTAATTGTAAATTTACCTGTGAAAATTCTCAACATTATTTTATGGAATGTTCTTTGTATTCTGTTATCAGACAGGAAATGTTTCAAAATATTAGCAGAATTTGTAACATTAAAGCACCAACAAACCTAGACGTACTATTTAATGGCAGTGCAGATCTTCCGTATAGTGACAATATCCACATTTTTAAAGAAGTTCAAAAATATATATCAAATTGCAAAAGGTTCAGTGATTGGATATAATGTGTATGATATAAATAACTCATGTATTCATTGTATTGTATATATCATTTTGAATATATCTTTCTATCCCTGTACATATGGTTTGTTTCCCATTTATCATACTAAATTGGCACTAAGTTTGCATGAAAGCAATCCATTCTCTTTAGTATGTGTTCAAAGCTCAGCTAAACTGGCACAGAGTTTGTGAAAGCTTCAATTTTCCAAGTGTCTCCATTCCAGTTTGAGGGGGAAGAATGAATGTTAATTAGTACAGGGAGACTATAATGTTGTAGATTATCCCTGATCATTATAAGTAAGCACTCTGAAAGTGAGATTTGTATACTGTGTTGGTATAGCTTTACCTAACTAACAAATGAGAGGATCTGAAACCCATCCAGGTCATGTTACCACTTCAATAAATTCTGATAATCTCTCAGGATATAAAGAAACTGAACATCTCAAAAGGAAGTGTGTGTTTTTATAGCAATTTCCTTTGGCTTTGCATGGAGAATGTGAGCTTGAACTGTTATCCAATATATAGATGCACGTCGGATATGTGGGAACACCTTCAATATGAAAGGAGATCGTAAGAGGAGGAGTTCCCAGTTCAAGGCAGGCCACACTCCCTGGAACAAGGGCATCACTCTATTGGAGGACACGACAGGTGCCCCGACAAACGTTCAGAGTGTATCTGTAAGGACGAGACTCGGTATTGCGGAAGTTGAGGTAATTGTTGTTAGGGCTGCGCAATATAACCGGTTTACTGGTATTTACCGGCTCACACATGAAAACGATACGTATTGTGATACGCTGATCGAAAACCGGTATTTTTACTTGCATTCGGAAAATGTCGTAACACTTGGAATACTTTTGATATTTTGTTTCATTTGTGCCAAATATTATTTATATTTTTATTTTGTCATGATTAAAAGTTTTCATTAAAGCTTATTCAAGCATAGTGATTTTGTTCTGTTTTTGCTTTATAAATCAAGCATTAACTCGATTATAGTAGTTGTTTTTGTTAAGACTTTTTGCAATATACATGTAATGCAATACATATTGCAATATATGCTTTGGCATCGCAATATATCGCAATATGAAAATTCCCTGCAATACCCACCCCTAATTGTTGTCAGTGTCGACAATCAAGGCAAACAACTGTGTGTAAATATGTACATAATATGAAAATTAAAGAAGCAGAACGCAAACGTCAAATGGATGTAAACACTATTTTATTCAATAAATGAATGGATCGGTAAACAGGCATTGTGCCTATATGAATACCTCTCCGATACAACAGTATACAGTACATAATACAAAACTCAACACTGGAAAACACATTTTAAAGTTATAGTAATAAGTAACAGTGTAATAGTAAAGTTATAGTAATAAGTAACAGTATAATAGTAAATTAACAATACATGATATATAGAAGAAAAATAGCTAGAGAAACGTTTTGTCAGGGTAAAATAGCTGTGTACAGACTTGACAATATTTTGATTAATTTCACCAGAAAATTAATGATTTCAATATAAAACTGATTCTAGATCAAAACCATTTTGATAGAAGAAACACCTTGATCGAACTTCAGCAAAATTTAGACATATAACAAGGTAGTGAATGGCATCCTCATTGTGATAGCCACAATATTATGTGGAAATATTTTGAAGAAAACGGTCGAATTTAGGTCACTACAGCTCAGTCTTTATTGCGTCTTGTACCGGTGTTTTTAATAATATGATGGACATTGCAAGGTGAAGCTCGATCAAAATGTTTCTTAACCAAGGTAACAGAATCACTTTTTCTTAACCACTACGTTAGACATTAAATTATATCGTTTTGAAATGTTGTAAAGTTAACAGGAATTCGAAAATGAAAGAGCAATCAACTGGGCTAATGTCAACCAAAAGAAGCTGGCATTTAACTGGTTTCATATTGGGTTACGCGTCACAAGCTTAGAGACTTTCAAGATAGACAGGAGCCCAGTCACTGGAAATAGCGATCCGAATCCCTATGCTGGTTCCCGGCTACATTTGCGCGCGCCACCTTGCGACATGCGAGACGGGGCCCAGCTTACCCAAATCCCGTACAGCAAGGACTAGGGTAACAGGAAGTCGTAAGTGGCGCCATTCCTAAAAACGTGTCGGCTTATCAAGCGAGTACCGGCAGCTCTGTTTCCGAAAAGATTTGAAATCACTGAACCTTTTCAAAAGTAAATACTCTTGATTAACATTGTGAGTAAGTACTTCCAGGTGTTGACCAGTATCTCGATTATTCCGATCTGCGTGTCTATAGATAGATGTTGATACTCCACTGCCCGTCATAAAGTGAGTGATGACTTCTAAATATCTATCAGCCTAATTGGGTTGTAACTTTCAATGTCTCGATTTACGACAGCCGTGAACGTATTGCTTTTGCACTGATGTGAGAAACAAAAGTGGAGAATATGCCCCGTAGGTCGATTATTTCACACGTCCATTATCCACTTTCTATGAAAAGCAGATCAATACAGTTTTGTGAACTATCATTCCTTATTGATAGGTATCTATTTGTGACAAACATGTACAACAAGCATACATATATTTTTTAACTTCGCCGAACGTAAAATGAATTCCACCCTGCAACGTCTGTTTCACGCAGGCATCTCTAACACACGTCTTACTTTCTTTTTCTTTGTCATTATATATTATTTTAGTCTTAAAACATGTTTAGATCAGTTTTACTGTTCTTTGTTGCTGGAGCAGTAATTGATGTGAGCATTTTGTTTACCAATCCGGGTTTTCTTCAAAAGCAGTTTAATAGAGAAATAGTTATGTTGGCAAGAACTTGTTAAGCAAGGACTAGTTTTAGTCTGGCGATTAGGTGCCTGACTCTGATGGTGTGGGTTCGAGTCCCAGATGGGACTCAACCCCCAAGAAGTACTAGAATCTGTACTTTACTGAGCAAGTGTAATCCCAAATATAACATTAGTTGGTTTTAGTTTGTTAAAATTAGAAAATAATTTGCCAACATGAACAATGTTTTGCAGCAAGTGAGTGCATATGGTGTTGACCCAGGTTTTGAACTAAACGTGTCAGGTGCTATTTCAAATTTAGTACATTTGTACAAAATTAGTACAAGTTTCATTCGGAATAACAAGGATATAAAGCCTTATCTTTTATCTGTTTAGCTTGCTAGTTTCTTGAAATATTGACTAAACTTTGTTATTGTGGGCTAATCTGATAATATTCATTGTACATATGAATGGTTCACTCAAGATTGCGGTAGTATTAATGTTTTCATGAATTTGATTTCATAAAGATGTAGAGACATACAATTCCAAAATCGGCATTGTAAGATCTCAGGGTCATCATTTCTAAAACATTACAGTGATTTTAAATCTGTTCTGGATGTTGAAAAGTATATTCTTGACTTGTTTCCTGGAAAAAAAACTGTTGGGGGTATATTGTAAGTTTCGCTGTGCATCTCATAAATTGAAAGTTCAGTAAGATAGATTTAAATGTCATGATAACCCACATGCGTTACTATGTACTAAATGTCTCCTGGGCTGTATTGAAGACGAATTTCACTTTTTAATTATTTGCCCTTACAATAAGATAAGCAGACAACGGTTGTTACCTGAATATTATTATAAGAATCCGTCTGCTCCAAAAAATGTATCAGCTGCTAGCATCCCCTGACACAAAACTTATCAAATCTTTGTCGTTGTATTTGAAAAGAAACTTGCCAATTTGATATTGTTTGTGAATGAATGATATACCGGTATGTGCACTGTGTGCAGTTATTATGTATTAGTCATATGGGTCATGTGGCCCCAAATACTAATAAACTTGTCAGTTGTCTTGTCACTTGTAAATAATTAGGCTTTCCATTTAGAAATAACAAGAGATCTGCACATTTCCACCAACCAAGGAGTTATTTTAAGGCAGTTATGTGAAGGCAGCCTTTTATTTGTTTAAGAAACTTGATTAAACTTGGTAGCATGAGCATGTTGACATTAAAACCTTGTAGCATCAGGCTGCTGTTTGGTCCTATATAAACATATCAACTTGTCTAGTCTATTAATTGTCATGTTCAGCAGGATGTAATTGTCTTGTCATATCATTAACTGCCATAGCTGTAAAGCACTGCTCCAGCAAGGATAATTAACAAACAGTTTATGGTCAGTTGTACAAACACACCCTGGCAGGCCTGGTTCAGCTGGGAGGAAATGGTCCTGTCTAATTACCCAACTTAATAAGGTATTATCTCTAAGTTTTGACAATAAGATGTCGGAAATGACTCTGAAGTGTGAAGTGTCCAAGCTCGTTAATTGTCTGCTATCCTATATATAGTTGGTCAGATGGTGTGTTCCTTCATTGTATTTCTTGCTTTGTAAGGGAAAGAACCTGAGGAGAGCTACTTGAAGGAAAAGAGTCTTGGCATAGACAAGTATTTTGTCGATTTGGACAGTTGCACAGTGCATAGATATTCACAGGTTATATTTTTGCAAGAACTTATTCAATAATAGATATTAAACAAAGAGCAGATAAATAATTTGCTTGACAGGGATGTTTTTGTCTCAAATCAGTAGGAAATTTCAATTCACATTATTACACATTTCTGGAGTTGATATCATTGAAGTTGACTTGTAATGAGGAAAGTGTCGTTAATGCTTAGCTTTATTGCATTGAATGCTCTCTTGAATTAAATAATCATTGCACTTTTTGTATGCAGCTTCATAATATGTGAGTATTTTGCTGTAGATAATGGCTGGACGTGGCAAGAAAAGGAGTCGTGAGGATGGCAAGGTCGCAATGGACTCCAAACGTACAAAGACATCAGGTAATTAATCGGTCAATTTAATGTTTTAGCATTACAATTCCTTATGATAATCATTCATAACACAGCTTCCTTTGGAAGTCATCCTCTCATATACTTTAAGAAGATGTAACTCTTCCCTTACAGTATCCCACCCGAGTCACGGTGACACAGCAGGGCTTGTACTGACCCTGGGGGAGGGTGATGTGGGGCAGCTGGGCCTGGGGGAGGACATTCTGCAGAGGGTGCGACCAGCCCTTGTCAAGCTCCCTAACGCCATCCTGCAAGTGTGTGCTGGAGGAATGCACACGATATGTTTAACCGACAAAGGAGAAGTAAGTCTGTTACAAAAACTCTGACATGGTGACATGGTATGGGGATGCTTTCTTATCATGAAACAACAATGGGATATTGCTCATGCCCATATTAAATAATATTTCTGTTGTGAAATACTTGGGATTCAAATCATGCTTGTCATTTTAAAGATTTGTATTTTCAATATAGCCATATGGTTTCCAGTAAACATGGTGAATTTCTGTTTCAGCTTTATAGTTTTGGTTGCAATGATGAAGGTGCCCTCGGACGCAACACATCTGTTGAGGGGTCGGAGAACACCCCAGGCAAGGTGGACCTTGAGGCCAATATAGTTCAAGTCAGTGCCGGTGACAGCCACACGGCTGCACTGTCCAGTGATGGCATTGTGTACGCATGGGGGAACTTCAGGGTGAGTTTCTCTACATAAAACATTGTGAAGAAGTGGATGGGTAACAAATTGTATAAGGTGCTGTACACTGTTGAACAGCTGCAGTTACGATTATATTTTTTATTTAGCAACAGGTTTTGTTTTGACCTAGTAAAATCTCACCTGATCCCCCAAAATTTACCAACAACGGAAACCACTTGGTAATACCCATAGTGAAGGGTAATGCCAGTATTCTTAATATTATTTAACAGACTGAAACTTTACTTGGAAACTGATATTTGATAAACCTTCTTCAATTATATACATTCCACCCCATTTAGATATTATGGTCATCAATTGGTTAGCTTGGGAGATTTCTTCAAATAAAATATGGATTAGAGCTTGCCAACTGCATCAGTGACTGATCTGTGAATAGATCGGTTAGAAATCTAAATGTAACTCCTTCTGATCATGTGTTCTAGGATGCCAGTGGATCCATGGGGTTGTCTTCTGCTGGTATTTCCAAAGTTCCAATCATGGTGCTCCCAGATGAAACAGTTGTAAAGATATCTTCAGGCAGCGACCATCTGGTTTGCCTGACAACCCAAGGCGAAGTATACACACTAGGTAAGTATTGCTGTGATCACATTCTTAACCACTCTCCGGCAAATCAAATACGAATAACAGTCTTGAATTTTTATTCCCTGACTTGGGACATATTTTTCATTCTGTCATCAGGGTTCGATCTTTATGCTCGCCCGCAAGCTCTAGGCGAGTAGACGAATGGAAACAAATTTGCACTAGTCTGGCAGACTTTTAGTTTTCTTCAATGATCATTCATCAAACACTGCAATTGAGATCATCCATTTTTAACTCTCACCACCAGGCTAGTGAATCCAACATCTACATACATTGTGTCACTTTGTTCAAATCATGTTAGTGGTCCCTCGCTATACTGCTAGGTTGGAAAGAACATGCAAAACTGAACTTCACACTCAGACACTATGTTTAATGCTAAAATATAAGCATGAAGCATTTTTGTCACAGGTCATAACCCAGCATGATGCGTCCACTAAGTTCCATAATGTACCTTTAGGAGGCTTTTTTTTTGTGTAACATGTTCAGAATAACATGTTTAACCCAAAACTTTGGCCTAAATCTCAAAGTTTTTGTCATTAGAAACCAATCTTTTATCCATTTAAATGGGTTCTACTAGGAAACAACTAGGAAAATATTCTTGGGAAAAGTGCAGTTGTTGATATTGAGAGCTTTCAAATGATACCGACCATCAAACGAAACGCCTTGCATGTTATTCATTTGAAGCCTCGAAAACAGAGCTATTTGCTGCTGTTGCGTCAAGTTACTGAGCGGAAAGCCATTGATATCTGAAAAAAGACGACCATACATGTTAATTGAGAAATCCTTTTATAATAATGTTCTGATTACGTAAACATGAAAATATAAAAGAAAACATTTAGGGGACATATATGTCATGTTACAAATGGAAAAATATTGCTGCATGTGTTTCTTCCTTCGTGGTTTATCTGGTTGCATTTTCATTATAAATTAACTTTGAATAATATAAAAAATAACTTTCATGTTTAGATTAAATCTTTAAATGGTGTATGACATGTAGTAGCAATAATGTTTTACAAGCTGATATTTTCCTTGATAAACACAGGCTTCATCGATGACCCCAGAGTCTCTGAAAACTCACCGTAATGGCAGTTAACTGGTGTTGAAAGAGTTAAGAGTAAATTAAATCATTTGTTACATACAATAGTAAAGCAATGAAAGTTAATTTCATTATCAATGGACTGATTGCTTTGTTTGTGGGCTAGTTGAAGGTTACTAGCCTAGTGGCACCTGTAGGTTTAGTTCTAACCCTGTGTCATCCAACTGTGTTTCAGGCTGTGCTGAGCAGGGTCAGCTGGGTCGTATTGCTGGCTGCTTCACTACGAGAGGGGGACGGAAGGGTTTAGGTAAGCATGGAGCATCTTTGGCTTTTCTGATATTGAAGATTTTACTCACCACAATGTAACACATGAGTAGTGTAAAATATTTTGCAAAAAACCCAAACTCATTACAGGACACATCTGATAACACAGTAGACATTACAGGACACATCTGACTTCTCGGATACTTCCACCTTCCTTGTGTCCAGCATGTGATATTGTCATTGCAGACTTGATCCTCAACCCGGGACTTGTCCGATGCAAGAAGTACAGATCCAGGAAAATGGTGAAGTTCTCCGACATCTGGACTGGCCAGTACATGACCTACGCTCAGGAAAAGGACACAGAGGACATCTATGCCTGGGGGTTGAATAATTACTACCAGCTAGGTATGTCAGCATTTCATTGGTGTACTTGAGGTGATGCTGCAACATTACTATAAATAATCCTGAAAAATATGAGCATGACAGACCTGTGCTAGTGACTGATATCTAAACAACTTAAATTCCAAAACATCTTGAAAGGATCACTCACAGTAACAATGTAGTACTTACTGCATTCAGGGTGTTTAAATACAAGTTTCTGACTGCCACTGTTTCAGGTTTTGATGACATGGAGAATCGCTATTTGCCGGAGAGAGTGGCCTCCTTTAGTATGGGAGCTAGCTGGAAGAGCATCACTGCTGGGCAGCATCACACAGTGGCCCTGGACACAGAGGGTGAGTGGTCCCTGGTTCTCTCTTTGTCAAGTAAATGGGTGGTCATGATAGATGACTCAATCATAGATGAAACATGAATGGGGGCATCGAGGTGTTCACTTGTTTTTCTTCCTTTCAAGCTGAAATTTGTTGTATTGTTTTGATTTGTTTTACTGGAATTGGATATGGTTATTTCATGCATGTTTACAGGACGAGTGTTCACACTGGGTCGAGCAGACTATGGCAGACTGGGACATGGGAAAGAGGGGAAGGAACTGTCAGAGCCCACACTGGTGGCAGCATTACAGGAGAATAGGTGTACACACATTGGCGCAGGGGGATGCGTTTCTTTTGCTGTCACAGAGAAAGGTGAGATACTTACTATATCAAATACTCAAGATGTTACATTTTATAATGTATGCCGCCTCCTCATCTATGTGGAACATTTAATGACCAAATTTAATCAGCCAACCAACTGTATACAGGTGGACTGCAATATAGTCACACACAGAAATATTTTAGTTGCCTGATAGAAGTGGTAGCCCAAGTAGTTCCACTGGCCCTCTACAATGGACAAGCAGATTATGTTCATTTTGAATACTAAGCTCCATGGTGCCCAATGTTGCAGGTACTGTGTATGCATGGGGAATGGGAACCAGCCAGCAGCTGGGCCAGTCAGAGGATGAGGACATCTATGAACCAACTGAGATGGGGGGCAAACAACTTGAGCACAGGTAACTTGTCATCTCATTGCTATTCTTGATGTGTTTCTTGATGTCTTTTGGGTCATCTTCTCTGTTCATACCATGATATACCATGTTATGGGGATCAAGTATTACTTGACAGCTGTCATTGAATCCAATGGAATGAATATTTATGCCTTTAACATCAATGGAGAAAAGCAGTTCCTGTGATTTATGATATTGTCAAACAAAAGCTTACATTGGCAAAAGACATTCCATGTCGCTCCCTTTTACAGACTGAATGATGACCCCTTTCCTATTTAATCCGCCATGCAGCTACACCAAGTAGTTAGAATTGTACTTTTTCAGAAGAGGTTTCTGATGTGTTTTTATTATTGTTGCAGGAGAGTAATTTCAGTAGACGCCGGGGGCAACACACAGTTCTGCTTGCCAAGGACAAGAATGGAAACTGACACCTTGTGGCAGGGGTCTGATAAAACAAGCTGTGCTGTGCATGTCCCTATTGCATCCTACAGGATTTTTGAAGACGTTGTGTATGGAATATTTCCAAGGCAGCAGGGACAGAACATTTCAGTAAAGACTGAGTGACTTTTTTTTAGCAGGAATGGCTTGTTATACTTTTACTAAATGTATTTTAGTGAAGAAGGATTCTTAGTAAGGATGTGTGTTTTAGAACATTATCAAGGTCAAACAGTGGTGAGATTTCATTCTCATGTGGATGTGCTAGGACAATTTCTGGAGGATATTTCCTGAACCATGGAACCATGCTGAAAGAAAAGATGACAGTGTACTGTTTGTGCCCCCTGACACCACTGCTCAGAATGGACTCGTTGGAAGCTGTGTCTTGGTGACAACAGCATGGAGACAGTTTAAGTATTTATCTATGTTAACTGGAACAATGAGACAATTTTGTCTCAAAGTGATCTTTCTTTTGTGGTGTGTGATTGTGAGGGAAGACCGTTGTTTGTTGTGGACGAGGGAGAGAGAGAGCATGGTTTTAGTGTTCTGAGGCTACTGAGATATCTGCAGATTTTAGAACCAATATCACATGTATATTTCATGAATTTATACTGTTTTATATTTCATCATGACATGGCTATGTTTATATTGAAGTGCTCACAGGGCTATTCCAAAGCACTTCCAGGTAACAATAGAAATGTAACATTTAATGTATGTTTAATTGTTCCCAACTTTTATTGTGAAATGATGATGCTTGTGTGTGTGACATTTCATGTGTATTATGTAAACGTTCAATTGAATGAGTGCTTGTATTCGGAAATGTTGAACGGTGCTGAGAGATTTTGTAAAGCTGATTTTCAATAAAGAAGTCAAACCTGACCCTGTGTTACATATCTGGCTGTGACCTGAGATATGTGGATGATAAGCAGAGAATGTTTTTTGTCTCAACTTTACTTAGGGATAATGTGAAAAACTTCTATGATATAATTTTTGTGTAATATCCTTGTCACTTGACTTGTATATACAGAGGACACTCACTACACAATAACCTTTGTATTCAGCAGTGTCCGTCCGTCCCTCCCGATTCTCGTCAATGCGATATCTCATGAACTGTTGTACCCAATGTCTTCAAATTTGGTGACAGCCTACATTGGGGGATTTCACAGACACCAGACACCTTGACCTTATTTTCAAGGCCACCACGGCACTTTGAACACTTTTCAAACACTTCTTAACACAGCATCTCATGGACTGTTGTATCCAGTGTCTTCAAATTTGGTGACAGTTTACATTGTGGTACTACACAGACACCAGTTTATTTGGGTGACCTTGACCTTATCTTCAAGGTCACCACAATACTTTGACCGGTTTTTAAAGGCGATATCTCATAAAACATTGCACCCAATGTTTTCAAGTATGTTGACAGCCTACATTGGGTGATTATTCAGACACCAGTCATTTCAGGCTGACCGAAAAATAAAAAGTAAATATAGATATACATGTATTCTTTAGTGGGGGGGGCCATTGCCATATGAGTGGCAAACACTTGTTTTGGTTCATTTATTCAGGTGTTTTCTTTTGAAATATTTGGGGTTTGGATAAACCATAACAGTACAAACTGTATACTACCTAACTGTAGTATAATTGTATAAAACAGTAGTCTAGCTGACTTGGTCTATAGCTGTGATCAGGTCATCCCAAAGTCTCAACAGACTGGGGGCCATCATCATGTTGATTGTATTAAATTCATTCTGGTGCTGGGATGGGGGTAGTCAAGTGGCTAATGTGTTTGCTCATAACGCCAAAGACCAAGGTAGGATTCACCGCATGGCCTGTAATATTGCTAAGAGTGGCATAAAACTTAACTCACTGATTCTGGTCCTATGACAAGTTTTGGATATCAGGTTCCTGAGTAGCCCTGCACAGCAGTTAAGTTATTGATATATATTTTGGAACAATGTGTTTCCAGTACTTTGACTTTGGGTCAACTACTGTCACTTACTAGATGCTTTTGGTCAACAGGATGTAAAACGATTTTTTCCCATAGAACTTTGTAGTGACAGAAATACAACATCCTTTTTCCTTTGCTTGAAGTTTTAGAAATGATATTGTGTTAACAAATGCATTATATGTTGCAAGATGAAGTCAATGCCCTGACAATGTAAGATCTCGTCAGCTGTACTCCCTGTCTGAAAATTCTGGTTTGATTATTGAATCTGAGGAGCATTGTCCAAGAAGAAACACTCAAGGACTTATGCGTTCATGTCTCAAACTTGCCTGATTGTGAGAAATTTTCTTTTTGAAGTTGAATGAGAATGTTAAGCCAACTACCTAACCTTCACACATCTAAAAAAGAAACAAAGTAACAGATATTCACAGATTGAGGTAAATTTACCAATGTTCATAATGACTGTCATTACCCATAGTACTTACTGGGCTATCTAGTACGGTCTGTGCCAGCTGCTGTCTGCACAGATAGGCCGGTGACGGCTTGATGGACATAGGCTTGTTCACCACACCACACTTGTGTTCGCTTCCCGATATACAGTTCCTACATATCCTTTTACCGCCGAGGGAATAATTGTTCCATTGATTAGTCGTTCAAACAGGGCGGTGGGGTAGCCTGAGTTTCGATTCCCCACATGGGTACAATGTGTGAAGTCCATTTCTGGTGTCCTCCGCCATGATATTGCTGGAATATTGCTAAAAGCGGCGTAAAATCATACTCACTCACTCAATTGTTCAAACAAATATAACATACGTGTTTTTCTCATTTTGTCATGTAAATATTTATTATAAATAGAATAATATAAATAAAGGAGGAACAGTGTTTATTATCTGCATTTTGTTCGTGTTTTAAACCAGTGTAGGGTTTCTGTCTTAGCCTTGGCGGCTATATCCCCCCTGAGACTGACAAGGGTGAGGACCTCGGCGGACATGAGGACGGCGTACGCAGTGAGGATGTTCCCTAGGCTGGGGTTGGTGTGAGCTGCAGCCCCTGCCTTGATGTCGACGCGGACTCCTTCCATCTGCATACTGACGGTCACCAGACACAGCAGGTGGAACAAGGAGTGTCCGTGACCGACAAGGTCAAACCGTCCTGGCGACAGACGCTCTGGGGTGTGGCAGGAAAACAGAATGGCACAAATCGCCAGCAGGAGAAAACACGTGGTCAGGTGGTTGAGGGATGCGAGCGAACAACCTGGCGTCGTCATGCATTCCGAGTAACGTGCAAATATCGGTATTGAAATTACCAGAGCGTAGACCAGCAGAGCGGCGAGCATGAAGACATACCGGGTGCCGTTATTTGTGGATGCGCACTTGAGCTTGGCAATGCAACAGACGTAGAATGTAAACCAGCTGAAGAAAACGTTGAGAGGTAGGAAAACCGGTTCCATGATGGTGTACATGTATCTCTGAGAACAGATGTACATGCACCCTATTCCAGTCCCGAAGGTGTAAAGCGTGACGCCACCATAGTCAATCATGAAGAGAACATAATGCCACCAGACAGATTTTGAATGGAACTGGTGGGCGATGGCACTAAATAATGTCCCAAAGAAACATCCCAAACTAAACCCGACCAATGACCAGCCATATTTATCCTCGATTAAGTCAAAAGTTTGTGAGAAAGACCAGACGTGTTTGAGTATGAGTAGGGTGGCTAGCAGGTGAGACCAGACGTTGAGGCTCTCGTTGTGGACGTGGAACAGTGTCTTCCAGTAGTAGCTCCAGGGCTGGTTCGGTCGACGATATCCGGTGAGGATGAAGGGCTCTCTGAAGGCAGGTGGGACGTGTCGGGCTTCAACTGTACTGCGATGGGGCTGTATTATCGACAGGATTCGAGAGGGCAGCTCCCCGAGTTTGACGCTACTAATGAACATCATCTAATAAACAAAAATGATGAAACTTAATATAAGCATGTCAAAGGTTGATGGTTGAGGTTAACGCTGCTTCTGTCAGTATTTCAGTTAAACACAACATTTCAGCCTAACTAATACGGTACGTTAAGATAAGACACTACTGTATATTTCTCTTGCATATTCCTCATGTTCTCCGTTTATATCGATGTATATATATCGTTACTGTGATCACATACATCAATACATATACCATGTCCAACACGACCTATCGATCACAGTTCATCCCTTGTTTGGCAATGACCTCTTCTGAAAACTGAAGCCTAAATATTGTGCTGTTTCCATGATGACAAACGGTCTTAATAGTCCTCATGAGAAAGCACATTGTGCTACTTGTAATTGGCCTAGCCAATCGATCGATACGGTCGATACTCTCGAGTTTCAGGATATGTCAACTACAGCAAGTGTAGCACACTATTTGCTGGTAACACGAAAAGGTCATGATGACATAAGGACAGCAGGTCACAAATTACGACGTCATGATCCACATTTTAGTGAACTGTTCTGACAACCGTGGGCACGGCATGATCCGCTACCTACACATGATAGGGCATGGCGACAAGTGCTGCACAGACCTGGCAGATGTATGATTGTGTAATCAAAGCAGGCGATTAAAATAAATCCGTCGCGGTGATACTCTGTGCTGTCCATCTACATACACACATACATTATACCCATCAACACACACTGAAGTCACTATAGTATGGAGTTGGAATGACACAGTATTCACACTACCGACTTCCCGTTTGCACACCAACAACCCATACCAGGAAATAGGGAGGGGTGTCGTCTAAACTTCGTAATGTTATCGCGTGTTTGACGCGGAACTAATTTAATTGTAGTTGATGCAAGCAAGGTCACCTCACAATACAAAGCCCCAGTACGTCCATATACCGGGTAAATAAGTGATTTGACTTACCTGATATGACGCTTTCCCAAGTGCAGTGATAACTTTAAAGTATGTAGATGTTAGAAGCTTACATGAGGTTAAGTTACGGCTGTATCCTGAGAACAGCCCCACTCATAACTACTGTCGAGCAAGCGTCCCGGCTCAATACAGACAGCAGTAACTACAACCTTCTTATGGCCCAGAATTATTCATCATTCACAGTATATCACGCTTTGACCTCTGGCGATGAAAACAACCCTGTCCAATTCTAAAGCCCAACAGTGACGCAGCAAAACGCGGAGCAAGTGAAGCGTGACCTGGTCCGGTTGAACAGCGAGATCATGTATCCCAAGGCGTGCTTCTCTTCAGATGTGCATGTGTCATTACGGTCGCTGTCGTCTATATGGATAATAATTCATGTTATAACCAGTCGTTTTCTCAACCAAGGGACGATGGTGTAGCTTAGTTTGTGCATCGTCCGCATGTACTGTTAATTACAGGATTTTATTACCTACGAGGGCGAACATATCGGGGTTCATATTTTTCATATGATGCCCCAGGGCAAAATATCACTTTGTTATGGTGACGTGACGTCATGAACAAGGCTATGACGTCACGTTTCTTCTGTGACGTTGCGTTCTACATGCGGCGACGGCGGGTAGCCACCCTGTGTCTGAAAGTAGATTTGGGTTTATCTACCTCAATTTGACGACTTCGGTAATTAACAGAATATTATATTCGTGCCCATATCATACTATGTTTACGACACTCGCGCCTAAATATCGGTATATCCCTCGCTCTCGCTCGGGAAATACCAACATTTTGGCACTCGTGTCGTAAACATAGTATGACATGGGCACTCATGCAATATCCTCTATGAATCTCCCACCTGAGTATGTCTAGGTACGGTGTCTTGTACCTTTTATGTTTTTATGTAAGTGGTTTCATAATGCCAAGGGACCGTTCTTAATTTACGGCTAGGGTATAGGTTGGGGGTCACCCAATTTTGTACACATCCGGGATAGAATGAACCTTCAATAATCCATTCTTGTCGTAAGTGGCGACTAACGGGATCGGGTGGTCAGGCTCGCTGGCCTGGTTGACACATGTCATCGGTTCCCAATTGCTCAGATCGATGCTCATGCTGTTGATCACTGGATTGTCTGGTCCAGATTCGATTATTTACAGACCGTCGCCATATAGCTGGAATATTGCTGAGTGCGGCGTAAAAGTAAACTCACTCAATCTCTGTGTGTGTGTGTGTGTGTGTGAGAGATTGAGGGAGAGAGAGATTGATTTTAAACATGACATGCAGGTTGTGGGTGTGTGTGTGCGTTCACTTACAAATCTTTACTTTGTACATAAACACTAGGGGCATTTACATTGTACAAGTACATGCTTCTCCATAGATATCATCATCATCATCATCACTCTAGCCATTAATTATAAACGGTCCCTAAACGACCTAATCACCACTTCTACCGGACTTGTTTCAATATACTGCGTGTAGGGGTGAACCAATTCTTAATCGCACTCTGCATCAGTGTAAAATCCAACACAATTTCATCAACGCTACTCCGTGCTCACCGTATGCTACCTTAACGTTTACTTTTATGTCTATATACAAGTCAGTAAGTTACTTGTATATGCTGAACATCCATGATATATTATCATTATATAACAAATATGATAAACTGAATATCTCCCCATGAGAATGTAATCCAAGAGTCCTTGTCTTAGGAAGGCATACAACACGCTGTTGGCGTACATACTTTATAGCCGTACGTGTGAGCAGACACATGAGATACCGTCTGTACCCACACAAAAGGAAATAAGAGAGCAAAATAAGTAATACGGGAATATACTAGGGCTATTACAGTAAACAAGAGATAGATGGAAAGACAGATCATTTGTCATAAAGATGACACGACACGTGCTTAAAGAAATATAATATATATTTATTTTTTCACAAAATGTACAATTGAAAAGTCAGACAGAGGCACGGGTTGAGTGATATGTTTATCAGATACAAAATCACTTCGGAAGCACATTGGACATGGCGGAATGACATAAATACGTGAGAGAAAATTCTCAGAATAACGATAAGGTCCCTTTTCTGTACAAGACCACATTTCAAAGTACTAATACACTATAACATATTGTCACGCCTTCACTAATATTACTAATAACTAACAAACTGCGAATAGATGAATAAAGCAAATTTCGTGTGGGGAGATCAAACAACCTCGATAGTTTGTGAAAAGGCAATGTAAGGTAAATGTCTTGTGAACACCAAAACTGTTGAAATGGAAATATCTAGTCGGAAAGTGGCTTTCGTGATACATCCTCTACAAAATCGGAAGCTCCATGTTTATCTGAAACATCAGGTACAGAAACGACTGCTTCCTGATATCATGCCCATAAACGCTTGTTGTTTATAAGTCTCGAGAATATTGCTAAAAGCGGCGTAAAACTAAACTCAGTCAGTCAGTATAAGTCTCGACCGACCCAAAACAAGTCACCGAGGATTGCGACGACCAGCCTCTACAATCCAGTGTATTATGTCTCTGTTGCCATTTCACCCATCTCTAACTTAACGTGAGCATATTTTATTTGCATGGTTAAGGAAGCAACTGCAGCAAATGAGTCCAGGCTTTGAATCATTGCAAAATGGAGACTGCTCATCCTTTATTATCCTTTGGGCGCACTATCACGGCGGACGAAAAACGTGAATGCATCTTTGTTCAACGGTTTAGTACGTATACCAAATGTCGTGCAAGCAAAATATATGGGGTTAGGTCGGTTACATATACAAGACGGGGTAGACAACATTGGTTATATTATTCGGATGCGTGGTTTATTTAAATACAATTTAGGAATCACTGGTCTTTGTTTAGGGATGATTGTCCGTGTTTATCCCTGCATGGCTAACAACGTGACGTCTTGCTCACTATGGTTTGAATTCTGATTTTTAAAAGAAATATGGCTACCGGTCCATTGAGAAGTGAACCCGCCAGGAGATTCACCGAAGTGCCCATTTATCTTACATATTATACAAATATTTATGTTCAGCAGACAAGCATGACTTATATTTCACAAGGCTGGCGTTGAGTTGGCAGTGATGTCTCAAAGAATACTTCAGGTCAGGGAATTTACAACCAACATTATAATATATAGCAGGGTATTATATCTGTTAATGTTTAAGACAATTACTAATAATGGCCCAATCTGACCCATCACAATTGATGTAATCATGAGTTCCCATTCGTCTCCAGCAAAGTCAGTTTAAAACGACGCACTCATTGGGGAGAAACATCTCATAACATGAAACTATAACATGAATAGATAAGACACAACTGTTAACAGACACATGGAAAAACAAACACCCGTCCATTAATACTATTGCTACCTCCCAGGCTTTGCATCAGCAGGCTACTATCGGGAAACGTGAGATATGATTATCACTTTCATACCACTTTCAATGCAATACTTATTACACTTGTACACATTATTACTTCTGGCATATGTGTACTTTAAATACATTATGCAAAATTGATGGTTCCAATTCAATCAGATTTTGAGGCACTTAGAACTTCTTTCACCTTTGTGTTAATGAGCCCTCTCATACTCACTAACGTTAACAATTCAACGACTATCAAAACTACAAATGCCGTCAGGAATGAGGTTAGATCTGGACGCGTATGCGCAGTAGCGCCAGAGAGAATATCCGTTTTGATGGCTTCCATTTCAACTATCATGGTGATCAACGTACTGATGTGGAATATTTGGTGTCCGTGGCCGAAAATATCGAAATGCCCTGGTTTGAGCGCTTCTGGGAAGTGAGTGGTGAAGGTTAGAGCATCGCATATCAGGAAAATGAAGACGAAGTGGAGATGTGTGAGGGAAGAGAGGCTGCATTCGTCGTCCAGGATACAGGGAACGTACCTGGCAAGGACTGGGATACCCAAGAGGAACGCTTGGGAACCTAATGCAAATACCATCAACATCTTTCTTCCTTTGCTGTAAGGGTCCTTGAAACAGAGTTTGGCAATACAACATGAACAGAACCCCATCCAACTCATTAATACATTAAACGGCAAGAATACATTTTCGACTAGCCCATAAATATACTTATGTGAGCAAACGTAGAAGCAGGCTAGTCCTGTCCCAAAACTACAGAAGGTCACTCCTGCATAGTCCAACAGAAACCAGATGTAGTGCCACCAAGGGGACTTGGTGTGCAGGAGATGACAGGCGGAGCTCAGAAAGGCTTGGATAAGGGCGCCAATGCTGAAGCCGATAATGGTGGCCGCGTCCTTGTTGGTTTCAAAGTCAATGGATACGCTCAGTCGATAAATCTGAGTGAGGACCAACACAAAGGCAAGACTGTGCGTCCACACATTGACTGACTCGTTATGAAGCTGGAAGAAACTGAGTATATAGTAGGTCCACGGTTTGTTAGTTGGTCGGTAACCGCTGAGGATGTATGGTTCCTTGAACATGTGCGCAACTTTCGTCACCGGAAGAGTTGACTGGTGCAGTGGCAGCCGGAGGAGTATCTTCATGTAGTCCAAAACACTGGTCATGGTCGAAGAATCCTTACCTCGGTGCTGACAGATAGCCGGTTCCTTTTTTCTGAAACAGACATATAATTTCGTATCCAGTCATTGACGTCAAGACATCGTGATTCCTGATGAATTGGCACCTGTGAGACAGGCATACATAAAGTTGGATAAACTGCAATCGACTAACATGAAAATAACAAATATTAAAATTTTAGTATTGTAGGCTTTCTTTTCAAACACATGATGCAGTATCAACGCCATGTACACACGACCACACCACTGTATTTGAAGAACACCTGACTGTTATACCACACGCAGCATACGTTGTAATTGGCATTAACCCTTCCCAATCAAGTACAGATTCTAGTACTTTTGTTACGTTGAGTCACACCCAGAATTCGAACCCACACTCTCCTAGCGAGACACCCAATCGCCAGCACACAAAGTCAGCCATCTAACACACTCAGCCGCTTCCACAGTGGCATTCTCGTCGTTACACCACAGCCGATACTCACAAACAATTTCGATCCTTCAGTGTCGACGAAATATGTTTCTAAGAAGTCCTGTCATAGCAAAGCTGCAATGGATCTGCTAGTCGGCCTGTCAGTGCGGTGCATCAGTGTGTCGTGCAATTTCGACCCTAATCCCGATTCCAGATCTTTCCCTTGTAGATTTGTATATGCGTGGCATAATGTGACAGGTGCGTTTAAATTTACAGTGCAATCTGATATCAGCAGACGATATATCCATGTTCACATTATATGAATGTAGAAATATTTGGTCAATACCCATCATCATACTGCACATTCCGTAGCAACAACAAAGGGATAGCGTACCATAAGGTAGGGCAATAAAACGAAATGGTCAGGCGATACAGCAATATCATAGCAAAGCCGTTTTCCCATTTATTACGAAATTACTGATATCTTGAATTGTTTCAAAGATATCTTGTCTTATATTAGAGAGTATTAAAGATATCTCTTATACAGATATATTGCAATACATTATATCACGAAATGAATTTGATGAAGCATAGTAATGACATATTGAAAAGAACTGCTCATATCTTACATTGGACGTAACAGGAAATGTTTCTATATGATATAAATAACTCATTTCATTAACTGTTATCTTGAATTATTTTACTTATGGTTTTGTTCAAATACTTCTGCCTGTAAAGTACCTCGGTTATGTTCCTAATCATTGCGGGCGTTGCTAATTTCCATCAGGATCTTGATTGTATTCGGTCAACACTGGATGACACGCAGCTTTTGTTGACATAATCCTGCTCAAATGTTATCGGCATGTGTGAAACCGGAAAAACATACCAAAATGTAAGAGATGTAAGTCAAACAGACAGGATCATTCCTTCTGTGTGTGTGTGTGTGTGTTGCAGATTCGATTTCGCCTATCGTGTTTTATCGTGTCAGTGTAACGCTATTTAACTTTATTATTTAGTGACTACATATCCAAAGGATTAAAAGCTGTAAAGTTGCTATGGTGAGTTCACTTGCTCTTTAACCTTAAACTTCATATGGTTGTTTAGGTTGTTCTGTTAAACGGACCCTGTTTGGTTCATTTATCTAGCTGCATTTCACTGATGGGAGAACCAAGATGTACCGACGCGTGGACTTTAATAAAGTCGCCCGAGGCAGTGTAATGATATGGGCAATAGATACCAGGAAGTACTTGGGGCTAATGGTAGGGACATGAGCCACTCAGTTCTCATTGCCTTGCCATGTGTGACGTCTTCATATCGAAAAAACCCAAAAAAAAACAAAAAAAAAATAAAAACAAACTGCTGTGCAGTTGGTAATGTTTCATCACTCATCAAGCGTTTAGATGTGGAATAAATATGCGTTAATTCACACAGAAACAACTTTTTTATATATATATTTCGAACATATTGCATAATATTACTCATTATATATTTTCCCTTTTGACCATATATTCGGTCACGCATAAGCGATGAATATACTTGTATCGACATTACGATCAATGCCACCTCTGGATCGAGAGAATATCCTTTTTCGCCAAATCATCAGCAACGCAATGGGCGTAATCAAAATCATGGTTGTCGTATCAGCAGAGCTGTTGGTGTTACCCGCATTCATAGAGATTTTATGTGCGGCTCATTTAATTGACTCACTTGATAGCGCATAACACCCCATACTTTTAAAAGTATCAGTGTGTTATAATTAACCATAGCTAAGGAATTTATCCAAACCTCAAATTAACTTGCTATCTGGATAAATTGTCCCTCGAGGAATAATTGAACGGCAAATCTAAACGTAAACAGAACGAAAAGCTCTAGTTCATGCAGAGAAGCAGAAGCTGGCTCTGTCGTGCTGGTAACTAATGGTCGTATGGCGTTAACAAGGGCTGCTATTTTCAAGATTCTGGCATACAATCCTCAACACATTACATAAACATCAATGTCAATATCTGGTGCACCCTCCTCCAAATGCAATAACATCACTGAACCTTCTCCTCATTGACTATATCAGATGTTGAATTTGACTTTGAGGTTTTGCGTTCCATTCTTGTTTCAATCCATCTAGATTGGATCTCTATGGCGTATTCTGCGACACATAATGTCCCAAACATGATCTAAGACACTGCTATCTGGACGTTAAGGTAGCGTTATTATCGCCCCTTGAAATCACCAACGGCACGATGCACGATGTAGCACAGCATTGTCGTCCATGAAGACCAGCCCTGCGTTCAGAGGATGGTCATGGAAATGTGGTATAACATCAGTAACTGTAAGTCATGTAAAGAAGAGACAAACCACAAGGTGGTGGCATTATTTAGCCCGGTACTAAATGTTTGTAGACCAAAATAGGAGTGTGTTTGGCAACTCCACTTGTCTGCGTGTGCTTTCAGTATCTGGTTTGCCTGGTACTGACTCCACCATAGAGAAACTGCCCTGGAACAACTCGTGTCAAATGAAATACCTCGTGGCTATCGTTCAATATCAAATGAATAAACCCAAATCCTGCATGAATACAAGTTACAGTATGCACACTACTACTACGTTTATGTTATAATCGATATTAAACATAGATTGCATTCACCCACGTACGCTTCCAGCAACACATGTATATATACGTCTATGTATTCATACGGTGGACGCTAAACTATAACTACGGTAAACCGCCACGCCAGCTGCCACTGCAAACACAGCACACTGTAACTAAGTGTATGTGAATCAGACATGAGCAAGCACGTCATAGTCTCGCTTCGTGGAGCGGTTACTCCTGGCTGGACAAGGCTTTGTCACGTGTGACTGCGAAATCTTAATGCATGCTGTATTATTAAGTGAAAGTGATTCTCGGCAAAACTGAAGTACAGCTACCCCTGTCACTCTAGTTTACATTTCCACAACAAATAATTAGTCTCGTGAGTGACATCAGTGACACGGCTGTGTCCAGCTGTAAGATATACGTGTATTCATTAGGACTGATGTTACACGAAGAAACCACTATAAACCTAATTAAGTGTCGTTACACTTATCTCTCGTGCCTCCTCAATTCTTTGGGTAAATTGTACTACGGTCAGGGTAGGTTATCCCCAATCCTTTTCCCTTGGCTCCTTGGATAATTACTTTCGCCGAGGGTATTTATAGTGGCTCTGAAACACTTTCTTTTTACAAAAGTTGTCATTTTCACAGTGGTGTTATTTGTTCTCTACAAGCTTGTTCACCAAGGGATACAACTCTGGTGATACTTTACAAATATGGCACTCGGAGTTGTCTCCATTGAAACAAATTCGGAAAATGTTATACATACACCTTTGATAGGGTAAATATTGAAGACCAATATGGTTTGAAAAATCTCAATACTGTCTGGACAAACAACTATAATAGATGCTCATCCTTCCTGCCCGAAGATTCTACGATACTGAGGCATCAGGTGATATACATAAAGAAGATCGGGAACGGTTACATTCCATGTACGAGGGCCAGACCCTTGTTCTAAGCCATCCTAATTCTCATTCTGACAGAAAGAAAGAAAGAAACGCATCATGCCATACATGTGGCGCTGAATTGAAGTTGCTTTGTGGAACACCTGACAGTCAGATATGGCAGGGTCAACTTCAGTGTTGATAGAGTATAATTATTTAAGTTTTACACCTCAGATTGTTTATGTTTTTAACAAACCAATTTATCTATACAGACTGCTTTTCTGAACAGTTTGAAAATCAATATAATTTGATTGCGACTTACGTAAGGAGGTCGAAACTGTCAAAAGATCTTAGTGTTAAGATTTTTAGAAGTTGGTGTATACTAGTCAAGGAGAGATATTTGGTGAAAGACAACCTTTGTATTCTGTTATGATGCGACCTGTTGGTATTATCCTTATGCCGCTGTCAAACAAGAGTGACACTGACTATTGGGGGTGACTATTGAGGGGGAAACTATTGGGATAGCGATAGTCTATTGCAACATACTATTGCAGTAGCGATAGTCTTTTGCGACCAACTGTTGCAATACTATTGCAATAGTTTTATCCTTCCTTGAATTGTCTCATCTGGAGTCATTTCCCAAATGAATGTATAGTTAATATAAAATTTGAAACTTGAAATCCAGATCAAATATACAGTTAAAACATAAATTCAATGAAGCTGCAAGTCTGCACCTAAACAATAAAAATACAAAAACACCATAAATATTTAATAAACATTTTGTGCCGCGCATTTATCAAAGAAAGTCAGTTACTAAACTATCGATAATCAAACATACTATCGATGCATCGATAGTTTTTCGTTTCTACCATCGATTAATTGCTATCGGAGACTCAACAATCGCAATCCATCGATAGGTCGATGCATCGTTACAGCCCTACTGACTATGTTTATAACTTGCGACATATATTTGTATGCTTTATGCATTTTGAAGAATATGGGGAAGAATTTTCTATTGAAAATGTTAAGCATTGCCAGAACTAAATGTGTATGGTCATGCTGTTGGATTTCATTCGCGCTTAGTGCCTTTAAAAAATATATGCTAGATCTATAAAGTCAAGCTGCTGCGGTGGAGGTACAATCATCCAATTCAGTGTTCATTCAGTTGCTCGCAGGTGTGAAGTCACTGTATGGATGAAGACACACTGGGATTATTGATCTAAAAAGATGGTCGTGGCTGAATACGTTGGAAATAAACAGATATGCTTATTATTTTATGGAAGCAAAGCGCATGAAGGTTTATAGATCCATTAGCATTTTCACAGTACTGTTGAGTAGACGTGCTATTTATCAAACCCTTAAACATCAGTGTCACCAAACCTGCTCTTATCACTACATATTCACTTGAAAGGAACATTACTGTGTACGCGCCTACCTTTCTATATATAGATCTAAAGTACTTGTGCAATAAAGTGTGTACAACACGACCCGTGGGTTATTTGAACACATTACAATGGGGCAAAGTGTATTATATACAAAATACAAATCCTGGTTCCCTGCTGGAATAATGAAAACAGTGTTTACAAATCCAGACTGTAACACATACAGTAGGGGCCTACCATTGTTACCATAACTCCAGACATGCATGGAGTTTATATCCTCAAATTCATTTTGATATTCTAGTTTCGGAACGATGACTGTGACAGCATATATAATATAACGTATCTTTTAGAATATATACGATGGTATGTGAATCACTCAACCTTACAGCGTGGTGTATATTAAGGTGTGCCGTCTTATCACGTAAACATGGACACTGTTTCGTTCCGCTTGAGGAAGCACAGTTGGCCTAAATACTTACGAGATATAAGTCTATGTGTTACAAAATGCTTACCTCTGCATGTGTATGGATACAGTGTTGTCCACGGGTTATCTGTATGTCGGGTGACTCATTATTTTCATTCTACCGACAAACGTATCAATGTTTTGAAGTTGTCAAGAAACATCGTCGTCTGCTATGTATGGATCGCAATGACCCACTGCGCAGTGAATCCGTCGAAGCCTTTGATTGGTTAAAATGTATTGTAAAAGCGGCTACATATTTCAACGCTTATGAAATAGTTCTACCAGTCAAACTGCATGGAGTTCGCTGCTGTGTTATATCTTATATATAATTGCCGTAATACTGTCTCTTGTGACGAGGTGAGATTTTAAAAAAAGTATCTAGCTGGCTGAAAGTGCGTGTGTACAACATTTAATTCAAATCAATCAGATTACTTCAAATCGCTATGCGCGATGGCGATCACAAACATCTATCGCAAATTTGTCAGTTGTCAAGGAAACGAATTATCGATAAATGATATATTATTAAAATAAAATATAGTCAAGGAAAAGAATAAGGGAACACACCAGGGACGGATACAGCTTTTTGAGAAGGGGGTGGGGTGGGGAGGGGTGATGTGGGGTGGTGCACACTATTGAGAAGGGTGTGGGTGTGGGTGTGCGTGTGGGGGTGCACACTTAACTTTCACGAGAGTTTCAATGGTCATTTAATATAGCCTACTTTCAGGACAAAAGGGGGATGCGCACCCCCTGTATACCCCACACCCCCCTCCCCGGATCCGCCTATGCACGTGAAAGTACAAGTGTTCCTTTATTTATTTCCAGAATTTCACACGCAGTGCAATACATACCTTGCAGGGGCATAGCTACCATTATGAAATAAAGCCCGGGCTTACACAAGATTCTTGCTAAAAAGGTTGGGCAAGCCCTCAATACTATCTAATTTAAAGCTTTGCAACCTATCGGGCGTACACGAAACTACTGTACTATCATGTGTTCCCTTATTCGTTTCCAAGAGTATATTAAAACGTGAATGTTCACCACAAACACCCTACCAACACTATTGCCGGATCTGTCACAACTTCAGCAATACAGCAATTAATTTACCCCTTCCGGGTTCCTTTAATCCAGTAAATATATTGCCAATAACAGTCCAGTAAAACCAGCCGTTCAACAGCTGCTGCTCTCATACGCATTCTGGTTATGATCCGTCATCCCACTGTATGTAGACAGGTTGACCCCGGCATCAATCCACTATACACTATAATGTACTGAATATGTTTTAACACAAGCAGGGGGCGGTGGGGTAGCCTAATGGTTAAAGCGTTGGCTCGTCACACCGAAGACCCAGGTTCGAATCTCCACATGGGTACAATGTGTGAAGCCCATTTCTGGTGTCCCCCGCCGTGATGTTGCTGGAATATTGCTAAAGCGGCAAACTCAGTCAGGCAGTAAGTCTAACACAAGCACGTGCATGCACGACGGTTGCCATCACGGTGACGTGTGCGTATGAATCCAAACGCCCATGCAAGGGACCAAACACTAACGTCAGTAACCCGCATTACAAACACAACATACTTTTAATGTTTCTGTTGATGGGACATTTACTCTTCTTTTTTGTTGTTGACATTTACAGCTGATACGATCAATCCCCTCAGGTGAATAACGTTTTCAATGTAATAGTATTAATACAAAGACATACGTATATATCATTTTCTTGAATACATGTATACTATTATTTTTGCAATATATATATTTACAAACACATACATATACAAAGTTAATAACATGAGGGGGAATATATTGCGCATCGACCTATTTAGTACGTGAATATATCGCATACATACATACCAAGTTCCCCCTCTCCGACCCCACTTAACATAAAGTGGATATAAACACGATACATACCTGCGTTGCTCAGTTGGCAGAAGTTAAGAGAGTTGTCGCCATGGCATATAGGAAGATCAGAACTCACGAGAACACGCACTAGTCGTTTTTCAGCTTAACAGTCAAGTCGCCCATGAACATGGCCATATCATATACAGTAATCAAGGCCAATTACTGAAATCGTCATTAGGCAAAGATGCATTGCGGCGTCTCGGTTGATATCATTACCAGGTAGTCAGGTGACATTAAGGTAATTACTGCGTTACCTATCTATACCACAACCAGACCAAACCCCAAGGGCTACTTAGCACGGTGTTGAAGCCGGAAGATAATTAATTAAACCCGGTTTGGGAGTGAGTGAGTGATACAGGGCTAAATTCGTCACACATATTTGTATGGACAGATATATCAGAGACGGGTACGTATGTACTTGCTTCTTTACCGGGTATGACACGTTATTAGATTTATGAAATAGGGGTTTTGATATGATCTCATAATAAGCCTTGCTTTAAATGTGTACAGCCGTACCCTACCTATTTGTATTGCGAATAGGGAAACATGTTTCAGTATATAAGGGAAGCGTTTTCTTGTTTGGCGATATTGTGACCTATGTTTAAGCCATTGTTATTTATTGGAAGAACGAAACATATGTTGATACGACGCTATGTGAGTATAACGGGACACATGCTTACCACATTGTTGGAGTATAACGGAACATACAAACAATGTGGAAAGCTATTCAAGGTTAATACGATAGCAAAGTAATTAACTGCGGCCAGTTGGCATGCCCCAGTGCTAGGAATACCTTGATCGCAGGCCTCCAGGTAAAACTTGTATTTACACAGAAAAGGTGTGTTTCCATGGTAACCATGAAACAGGTAGGTGCCTGCCAGGAACTTGTGGCTTGCGAACTGTGAGAGCGTGGAGGTCGACCGAGAGAGAGAGAGAGCGTGCGGGCGGGCGAGAGGCGGTGTGGCAGGAAAAGAAGCCATGAGTGGCTATGGAGTTCGTTTGTATAACACCGTCTCCCGATCCAGTGTTAATGAATTGTTGGGGTGCTTGGATATGTTTTGGTGACGAGGGCAGAGGTCTATGAGCAGTTTTCATGGAGCGTCGGAGGTGGCGGGATGCTGAAAGGAAAATATGTCGCCCTAACCTCTTCCAAAGTCAAACTTACTCTTTTGGCGGAGCGTTGAATATGTAAGTTTATAATAACCAGATGCGTTATGAATAACCTTGTAAAGTTTGACTGTACAAACATATATGAACAATTTACATGTACTTAGCGAGTGAACAGCCGTGCCTTAATTCACAATACAAATGTCATTGTGTTAATCATCTCCAAATCGGCTCTACAGGAGTCCTGCGTTTCAGCGAAGTTTTAAGGTATCGTTTTTGCCTTGAGCCTGTTATCAGTGGCGATGTGGCCAGTGATCTTAAACACGCTTATACCTACCACGTGTATTATAGTGCTAAATCCGTTAATGCAACAGGCGGTTAGAGCTTGTGCTTATCAGTGTTGCAACACACCTGTCGGCAAAATGCCCGTATGTACAGGTGATTTGTAATGCATTAAGTGTGAACATTGTTGAAACTGGCATATAGCTGTCCAGAAAACACTTCTACATTTAAGGTCACAACACACGTACATAACCGTTTTAATTGATACCAACTGGGTGTTTCACTACGTGTGAAGTGAGTTTTCTGTGAACTCCAAATGACAGAACAGGGAAATAGGGATGGTGATTTATCATTTGGTTGGGGAGGCGTGGGATATCCTCAGTATGTCTTCCAGTAAAGTGACACCGCAGACACAGAGGTATCAACACCTGCGCGTGCAATTCCTCGTGACACAAATACAAACAGACATCCAGACAGACATCCAGACAGGCTGTCACATGATAATCAAGAACTGGTAAACGCGGATAATCATTAGGATAATAAGAGTGAGTGAGTTGAGGTTTACGTCGCACTCAGCAATATTCCAGCTATATGGCGGCGGTCTGTAAATAATCGAGTCTGGACCAGACAATCCAGTAATCAACAGCATGAGCATCGATCTGCGCAATTGGGAACCGATGACACGTGTCAGCCAAGTCAGCGAGCCTGACCACCCGATCCCGTTAGTCGCCTCTTACGACATGCAGAGTCGCCGTTTGTGGCAAGCATGGGTTGCTGAAGACCTATTCTACCCCGGATCTTCCTGGGTCATGATAATAAGAGTATGCGTGGCATCATGCAAAGCCTGGATAAGGACACACAATGTAGCATATGCACTGCAAATTGTCTAAAAAGAATTAAAATCAAATAAATTCCATTCATTACATATGACACAGGGATAAAATCGGCATCTACGTACGAATGAAGACCATTCAATAAAGTTTCTGGCGTCTGTAAAATACCGGTATATATTCTACTACATCAGCCAATCAAAGTCACGCCAGGCGATGTGTTGGGCCATTGCATATTGTATGTGAATAACCCTTCCATAACACGTCATTTATATCACACAAGACGATGTATTGGGCCATTGCATATTGTATGTGAATAATCCTAGTAGAACTCGTCATTTATATCCCACAAGACGATGTGTTGGGCCATTGCATATTGTATGTGAATAACCCTAGTAGAACACGTCATTTATATCCCACAAGACGATGTGTTGGGCCATTGCATATTGTATGTGAATAGCTCTACTATAACACGTCATTTATATCCCACAAGACGATGTGTTGGGCCATTGTATATTGTATGTGAATAGCTCTACTATAACACGTCATTTATATCTCACAAGACGATGTGTTGGGCCATTGCATATTGTATGTGAATAGCTCTACTATAACACGTCATTTATATCTCACAAGACGATGTGTTGTGCCATAGCATGTTGTATGTGAATAACCCTAGTATAACACGTCATTTATATCACACAAGACGATGTGTTGGGCCATTGCATATTGTATGTGAATAGCTCTACTATAACACGTCATTTATATCGCACAAGACGATGTGTTGGGCCATTGCATATCGTATGTGAATAGCTCTACTATAACACGTCATTTATATCACACAAGACGATGCGTTGGGCCATTGCATATTGTATGTGAATAACCCTAGTAGAACTCGTCATTTATATCCCACAAGACGATGTGTTGGGTCATTGCATATTGTATGTGAATAACCCTAGTATAACACGTCATTTATATCACACAAGACGATGTGTTGGGTCATTGCACATTGTATGTGAATAGCTCTACTATAACACGTCATTTATATCCCACAAGACGATGTGTTGGGCCATTGCATATTGTATGTGAATA